GAGAGCTGGACCATAAAGAAGCCTGACCGCCGAAGAATGGATGCTTTTGAATTTTGATGCTGGAGGAGACTCTTGAGAGTCCCCTGGACTGCAAGGTGATCAAACCTATCCGATCTGAAGGAAATCAACCCTGAGTGTCCACTGGAAGGACAGATCCTGAAGCCGAGGCTCCAATACTTTGGCCATCTCATGAGAAGAGAAGACTCTCTGGGAAAGACCCTGATGTTGGGGAAGTGTGAAGGAAAGAGGAGAAGGGGACGACAGAGGACGAGATGGTTGGACAGTGTCACCGAAGCAAACAACATGAATTTGACCAAACTGCAGGAGGCCATGGAAAACTGGAGGGCCTGATGTGCTCTGGTCCATGGGGTCACGAAGAGTTGGACACAACTGAACGACTAAACAACAAAAACAAAAGACTTAACACTTCTAGCATGTAGGAATGTGCGTCCCATAATTGTTAGTGGAAATATCTTGTACAGTGGTGCCTCGCTTAACAATTGCCTCGCTTAACAAGGAAATCGCTGTACGATTAGGTTTTTGTGATCGCTTTTGCAATCGCAAAACAAAGTTTTTTCCGCTTTGTGATGTTTCCCTGCTTCAGGAACCGATTTTCGCTTTACGACGATCAGCGAACAGCTGATCGTCAGCTTTCAAAATGGCCACCGGCTGCACAAAATGTGTTTCAATGGGTGGCCACCGGCTGCAGAAAATGTGTTTCAATGGGGTTTTTTAATTTTGTTTGATGACAATTTCACTCTACAGCGATTTCGCTGGAACGAATTAACATCGTCAAGTGAGGCACCACTGTATAGGGACAATCGGGAGTTTAAGTTTGGACTCTGCTCACCCTTCTGCAAACCTCTGAAAATATTGCTGATTGTGTTGAATGTGGCTGGTGATATACAGGTGAGTTCATGTACTTCTGCTCTGTTTAAAATATTGTCGCCTGGCTGACTTTTTTTGCCCTCAGATGCTTCAAAACTTTACACGAACATAAACCAAAGTTGCCAAAAAAAAACAAACAAACAAAAAAAAAAAGAGAGAGAGAGAGAGATTGAGAGAGGGGGGGGAAAATGTTATGTGTTCAGTTTAACATTGTCTACAATGTAAATCATATAAACTTTTTAGCAGTATAACCAACAGCGCAGGAATAGTCAGAAGCCTCTATGATAGATTCCCCATTTGTGCCTCTTTGACAGGGGTTGGATTCGATGATCCGAAGGGTCCCTTCCAGCTCTGAAGTTCTAAGATTATAAGACAGTTGTCGTATTGTGTGAGAATCATATGATTTGAGGTGCTCTTGGACCTGGTGCTCCGTACGGAGAAGCAAATTTCTGCTGTGGTCAGGTCTGCCTTTTTCTGTCTTCAGCAAATTGTACAGTTGTGGCCCTACCTGGATAGAAAATCCTTGATTCCATTTGTTCATCTGTTGATAATCCTGAGGATCGATTATTGCAATGCTCTCTATATAGAGCTGCCTTTGAATGTGATAGAGGTTGCAGCAGGTGGAAAATACGTATTTCTAGATATAATCATATCTCCCTGATTTGGACAAGCCTGCATTGGCACTTTGTCTGCTTCCGTGCCCAATTCAAAGTGCTAATTTTACTCTATAAGGCTTAACGGTTTAGAACCTTGATACTTGTTAGAGCATATCTCCCCAAGATCTTCTACCTGGACCACTCAATCATCTCAGACTTAATGGTTGCAAGCGTTTACCCCAAGGGAGTTCCAGAAAATGACCACCAGGAACAGGACCTTCTTAGTGGTGGCCACAACATTGTGGAACACACTGCCTGTTCTTGTACACTAAACTCCCTCCATTCTATCCTTCAAGAAACAGGTTAGAATGGTCTCTGAAACCCACTTTTTCTTTTTGAGTTACTATTAGACATGGGGACGAATAAAAAAAAAACAGATCACAATATTCGTCAGAAATAGCTGATTAGTTAAATATTTGTCCCTTCATATTAATGGGTTCCAGAGACCCCAACAGATATAAAGAGGCAAATATTGCCCCAGTTTTATTTGTCCCCCATACATAGAGAGGGAAAGCTAGCCTTCTCTCTCTTCCTATGGCTTTCCCATTCTGCCCATTGGCCTGCCGATCAGGGGGCTGATTGGCAGCCCTCCACCCCCAAGCCTATCCCCTGCTCCCTTCCTCTCCCTACCTTAGCCCCCCCCTCTAATTGCTGCCACCGTGTCCAGCAGTTCTATGCAGCCATGGCCTGTAGAAAGGGCCATTGGCTGTGCTTTGCAAAGATGGCAGCTGCAGCTTCATTTACGGTAGGGAAGCGGCAGCTGCCATCTTTGCAAAGGACAGCCTGGATTCCCTTAGCCTGCCTTAAGGCAGCGGCGCTGGTGATTACAGTGGGGGTAGCATGGGGGCGGCACTTTGTCAGGCTTTTTTTAAATAATCCCCCCACAAATCAATGAATACATTCATGCTTCGTCGGTTCATGGAGGCAGTTTCGTGAATCGTCAACTTTTGACGACTCACGAAGCAAGACTCGCCAAAATAGTGAGTTGTCCCCATCTCTAGTCACTATCATGGTTGTCACTGAAAATGTATGCTGCAGACTGAAGGCCACAGTTAAAACAGCATTCCATGCCTTATGTACCTCATGCCTCAAACCTGAGAACCCACCAACCTGCTTGCTGAAGAAGTGGAGTAATCCATTTATAAGTTGTACTCCTACTGCAGAGGACTGGAACACATTCTGTTATTGTGGGGTAGAAACTGTTCAGGAGCCCATGAGGCTATGAGATTGGCTTACCTCTGTAAAAGTCTATTCTTATAGACTTACAATCCATCAGAATGAAATGTGGTCCAGAATATACAGACTATGTAGGGCCCCACATTACTGAGTGGTTTCAACTTGTACAAGGACTAATATTGCAAATATAATAATAATACAAAAGGCAGCTAGTATCACAAGAAATAATAAATCAATAAAACATTTTAAATCTTGTACAAGGACTAATATTGCAAGTATTATAATAATTAATACAAAAGGCAGCTAGTATCACTAGAAATAATAAATCAATAAAACATTTTAAATCATAATTAAACAGATTACATAATAAATCAATTAAAATCAATGCAGACCCCTTTTTGTCAGAAAGAATCCAGCAGATGTTTCCATAATAGTGATAACTACAGACAACTCTACAGAGGAGTTAACAAGCTTCTTGGCTGTTGACCTTGGAAAACATCCATAATCTTTTCAATTGTTGCCTAAATATGCCAAAGACAACCTCCTGCTCGGACCCCTTTTGGTCAGAAAGAATCCAGATGTTTCCATAATAGTGATAACTACAGACAACTCTACAGATGAGTCAACAAGCTTCTTGGCTGTTGACCTTGGAAAACATCCATAATCTTCTTTCAATTGTTGCCTAAATATGCCAAAGACAACCTCCTGCTCTAATGACTCAAAGAAAAGAGATAGGTATATCCTAAATGTAGAGGGAAGTCCCTTGCTGTGGCCCTTCCATTTGAGTCAACAAGCTTCTTGGCTGTTGACCTTGGAAAACATCCATAATCTTCTTTCAATTGTTGCCTAAATATGCCAAAGACAACCTCCTGCCCTAATGACTCAAAAGAGATAGGTATATCCTAAATGTAGGGGGAAGTCCCTTGCTGTGGCCCTTCCATTTCTCAGGTGAAATATGGAAGGATCTCATCAAAATGGTGGGTAATCAAGCCCCACACATTGTGCTTCCTTTGGAGGGCTCCATGACCAAGGACTGTGCAAGTGACCTCTTGGTGGGATCTGAACATACCCTTTCTCAGTGCTCAAGTTCTCTGGTTTCATCTGAAGATGAGGCAACACATGTTTCTATTTGGTCAAAAAAACAGGCACCCAATGTTGAGGAACTGGGCTGGCTAAAGGGGTACTGGAAGTGACAGTACAGGCTGCTATTGGTCATTTCTTCAGATGGGGTAAGTACTACAGATGGCCAAAGCAACTGTTTAGGCAGGTAACTACTTTCTGTACTTCTGATGTCCCTCTGTAAATCTTAGGCCTATACAAAGTAAAAATCACCAAGTCAAGTCAGAAAGAGCTCTAGAAAATAGCTGTTCCTGGCTTGTTTTGTGAACACAAAGTCAATGCAACACATGGTTCTCTAAGTATGTCAAAAAGAACCAGGAAACACCAGAATATGCTTTGGTGCAATCTTTTATTAACCATTTTGACACGCTCAATTATACATCTCTGGTACAAATGCCACCAACTTGCCACAAAGCATTAAAGCACAATAATCCCAATGTTTATTAAACATTTACAGCCTTTAAATTTTGTAATTTCTTTATCTAAACAGTGTCTCTGCAGCAATCTGACAAGTATTAAAAGAGAAAAATGAAGAACCGATCCTGTAAAAATGTGGATATCTATATTAACTATACTTTCAAGAAAAGTCAAGAGAGAAAAATAGTTCACTTGAAGAAAATGTGGCTCAAGTCTTTGGATTAAAAAAAAACAAAAACAACTCCCACAAAAAAAACCCCACCTTTCCAGAGCACCTGGCCTTCTTGGGATTTCTGAAAGGAGTCTTGTAAACACCTTGCAAACATAAAAAGCAAAGCTTAGAAGATATTGCTAGGTGGTGACCGGCAGGTATGCAAGGGCAAGAGAAGGTCAGATTAGAACAAGTTAGGACCAGTGGTATCTGGTGAAGTATGACACCATAAAGGTGCAAACAGTCCTACTAAAATGAATATAAGAGCTGGAGTGCTGGCAGAAGTATACCTATTATTACCAGCTTGATTTCTTAGTACTTTCTTAGATAAGAGGTTTTCCAATCAATAAAAGGACATTTAGCACTGATTCCAAAGTGGGCAAATGCAGAAAGCCTACTAGGAAATGCATTTTTACATCTGTGTATGAAGTTTACAAGGCAGAGACACAGAAAACAAGACAACAGTACAGTATGTGCTGACAGTCCTTCAGAAGGCTAGAAAACCTGTTGACTCTGACAGACCCAGACAAGTGCCAAGGTGTCAGAAAGCCCACCAGCTTGGCATAAGACCACATTTGCTTTATTGTATTTTATTTTCTGTTATGCTTGTTTTTGCATGCGAACATTTCCAATGTCTTAGGCATTCTGCATTTCTTTGCCAATTTTGTAGCTGAGGATTTTGTTCCAATCAATCTTGGTGCGGGTGACTGGCAGTTGGCGGCGTAAGGCTTTGAATGTGGTGTCTGACATAGTCTGATAATTTTCACTGATTGCTGTCTGCAAAAAAGTAAATGACCAGAGATTAGAATTTAACAGTTACAGAAAACTTTTTCATAGTAGAACTGTTGGTCAAGTCACTGTAGAAGTTCAATCTCTCCATATTTATTGTCCTGTTAAACAACGACAAAATAGGGTCTGTTAAAAATAAAAAATAAAAATATAATAGTGATTAAAAACAGAAGACAATAAATTCAAAGAATAAAACATTACAGCAACTAAAAATGAATTAGAACCAATATCAAGATAAAGATGCAAATACATTTTGTTGTTGTTTAGTCGTTAAATAGTGTCCAACTCTTCATGACCCCATGGACCAGAGCACGCCAGGCGCTCCTGTCTTCCACTGCGTCTGTCAAAGATATAAAGTACAGTGGTGCCCTGCTTGACAATTTCAAAGATATAAAGTCAGTGGTGCCCTACTTGACAATTACCTCGTTAGATGAGGAAATTGAGTAACAATGAAGTTTTTGCGATCACAGAGTGATGTTTTAAACGGGAAAAATCGTTTCACGATGATCGGTTCCCTGCTTCGGGAACCGATTTTTCACTTTACGATGATCAGAAAACAGCTGATCGTTGGGTTTCAAAATGGCCACCCACTGTTTAAAATGGCTCCCTGCTGTGCTTAGGATGGATTTCTCACATTACAGGCACCAGAAAATGGCCGCCCTACGGAGGATCTTCGCTGGACGCTGAGCGGGTTTCAATGTGTTTCAATTGGCTTTTTCATTTCGCTTGACAAGGATTTCGCTTAACAGTGATTTTGCTGGCACGGATTATCCTCGTCAAGCGAGGCACCACTGTACTAAAGTTCTTAAAATGTCTGAGAAAATAAAATGGTCTTTACATGGAGCTGAAAAAGACTCTCTAACAGTCATGAGGCAGGCCTCTCTGGGGAGAGCATTCTAAAGATGGTGCTGCCATTAAAAAGACTCTTTCTCTTGTGACCCTCTGCCTTGTTTTTTCCTCAGGGACATATATTAAAGTCAGTATAATTACATGTAGATTCCTCAGGGACACAGGGAGGAGGGGTTCAAATTACTATATTAAAGTCAGTATAATTACATGTAGAAAGAAATGCTTTTTCCTCCGTCGTTTAGTGTTTTGAAATGGTCAAATCAACACTTTGAATAGGACTTGTAAAGCAAGTATAGTTTTTGAAGCACTGGTGTATGATCAAACTGGACAATCCCAGGTAAAAGTCTAGCTGCCTTGTCAGGGGAGCATGTCCTAAATCCATGCTTTTGGGTGTTATTGGCGCTATGGAGGATCTTCGCTGAACGGTGAGTTTTAAGCCCATAGGAAAGCATTAATCAGGTTTTAATGCATTTCTATGGGCTTTTTATTTTCGCATTGTGACGTTTTCGTGCAACAGCGATTTTTTTCGGAACGAATTAACGTCGCAATGCGAGGCACCACTGTACATACTGTACAGGTCAGGTTGTAAAAGAACATTTGCTACATTCTTCATTTTCATTGATATATACTTTGGAAACTTTCATGAGGAAATTTGAAGCCCTGCAAGACTCCTTGCCTCCAAGTGACAGTGAAACAAGGAACACTGTTTTATTACCAAGATCACTGTAAATTGTGCAAACTGTCTCTACCCAAAACTACTTGTTTTCCCTATTCAAAAGCAAAGCATCTGAAGCTACAAATATGCAAAGACCAAGCACAGAATGAATGATTATTTTTAAAAAGACACAAACAACTCCATGGATGCTTCTACATCTTAGAAGTCTGAAGACACAAAAAACCCCATGGATGCTTCTACATCTTAGAAGTCTGAGCAACAAAGTAACAGCCATTGTCACTGGGCGCAATTTGTTGTTTGTGTTAAAGCACTATTTGTACAATTTTGATTAATTTTGTGTAAAACACCATTTTCATTCTTGTTCTTCACTTTTGTCAAGGACACACACAAAAAAATCCCCTCCTTAATGGGCAAGGAAGAATAACTTTTGTTATTCCTTATCCTTGCATGATAGACATGACAAGTGATGATCTGCATCCCTAGCAGTAAAAGTAATATTGTAAAAATAAATGTAGTATCATAAAAACAATAAAATTTTATAAAAATGCACAAAAGTATTGAGCCAGCAAACTTTTTAAAAACAGATATTGTAAAAATAAATGTAGTATCACAAAAACAATAAAATCTTATAAAAATGCATAAAAAGTATTGAGCCAGCAAACTTTTTAAAAACAGAGAACTATCCTTCAGTTTCAAATCAATGACGAAAAAGAAAGATGAATGGAATGATAACTCTGTAATTTGCTCTTTTGCACAGATTCTCAATTTTTACATCTTTAAATGGCTTGCAACAGTGGGATGAGTAGTTTGACTTTCACAAGTTGGAGATGCCTGTACCGTATCTCAAATATGGAAATACACTCATGCATAATTAGAGTTTCTGGTGAAATCCAGTATTATGGGACTAACACGCACAACTGGACTTTCTCTGCCATTCCTCCCCTCTGCATTCTCCATACTGAAGCTATTACATGGAAGAAGGAGTAATTGGATGCAAGTGCATGGTTGGCGTTCTGTTGCACACCAGCAGAATATGACATTCCACCAGTATAGTTAATATGGGATTGTGCTTATGTAAGTGGAGATTGTCTGTAGGGAATACTCAACCTGTATCTCTGTAGAGAATACTTAACCTGTATCCCAGATACTTCCTTATGCAAGCCTTGTAAATTCAAACCACTTATCCTACTGCTATTGTGCAACAGAAATGCGGGATAGCTCAGTGGTTTAGATATCTGGTTGCAGAGCCAGAGGTTGGGAGTTCAGTTTCCCACTGTGCCTCCTTGATGTACACCAGACTTGATAACCCATAGGGTCCCTTCCAGCTCTGCATTCTATTATAATGATGATGATGATGTCATCTGACTGAAATGCATCTTGGTCTATATAATTATGAATAGCCTAATATAACAGAGATTTGGGTTAGTATGTACAAATGGAAATAGTACCTACCGTAGGAATCTGGGTAAAAAAAAAACAAGCTACAGAGTTATCACTCCTCTCACTTGTCTTTTTCTGTCATTGATCTGAAATTGAAGAATATTTTCTTCTGTCCAATAAAACATTTGATTAAAAGAAATATTAAAAATTTGAAGGAACAGTGCTCTTACCTGATAATCGTTCTCTGCATGTTCAATTATTTTAATGAATTCCTTGGCTGTTTGGACATCATTCTGCAAAGATGAAGAGTCGATAATTGATTTATCACTATATGGCAGAGTTCAAATTATTCCAAACAAACTTCTACACAAAATGCATTTTACACCCAGCATCAGCAGACTAAAACTGATGTTACTGAAAATGAATTAAGAATATTGTGAGATAAAGTTGAGGATCAAGAAAATTGTAATCGCGGTGACTAAAAACAAAACAAAAGCTGAACAAGATCAGATTTCTCGAGATAGAATGCAGTTATGCTGGAGGAAAGTTGAAAGAAAAAAACCTGTTAAAATGCAAGACTCTGCTTGAATACTATCTGAATTCCTCAAGGCCTTTATTGGTGCTTTATCTCTGGCTGAAGATAAGCAACTGACTATACTGTAACTAAACTTGCTGAACTAACTGTAGGAGCAGAGAAAAACTGTAAACAGACTATAAGGACTGTAAACGTAATCACATTTATATAGTTAAGAAATAGCATATATAGTAATGAAATCATTTAGAAACATATAAAAATTCTGTATTTATATATCTATATACAGTGGTGCCTCGCATGTTTAAAAACGTATAAAAATTCTATATATATCTATATACAGTGGTGCTTCGCATTACGAGCACTCTGTTTTACGACGAAATCGCTTTACGTTGAAGGTTTTGCGATTGCAAAAGCAATCGCAAAACGATGTTTCCTATGGGGGAATTTTGCTTTGCGATGATCAGTTCCCTGCTTTGGGAACCGATTCTCACAAAACAATGATTTTCGGCCAGCTGATTGGCGGTTTCAAAATCACCGCCGGGAAAAAAACATGGCTCCCCGCTCTTTTCTGGGACGGATTCCTCGGTGCACAGGCAGCGAAAATGGCCGCGCTATGGAGGATCTTCGCTAGACAGTGAGTTTCAAGCCCCTAGGAACGTATTAATCAGGTTTTAATGCGTTTCTATGGGCTTTTTAATTTCGCATTATGACGTTTTTGTAAGACAGCGATTTTGCTGGAACGAATTAACGTCGTAATGCGAGGCACCACTGTATTGAAATGCAGGCTCGTAGAGTGAGCTTTTGATACAGGAGCAACAGGTCTTGGTCCCACAAGTTGTTAACCCACATGGGGCAGCTCATTTAAAGTAAGCTGGACGTTAGGTAGCCTCAATGCCATCAGTCAGGTAAGGAGGAAGAGAGGGAGGGGAGAACAGAGTGAGAAATGAGATGAGGGGAAGAGAGATTATGCAGACATCTCCATGTTACATGGTTGAAATACAAGCATTTAACATCCTTTAATATATTTGAAGAAGAGCATTAAAAGCACAGCTAACAAATTTAAAGGGTAATGTGCTAGACAACTTAAATGCAATTTATTTCAACACAAATAGTTTGGGTTTCCCAGCCCAAAATATATAACCATATGAACTATTCGTAAGTTGGGTTATTAAAAAAACAAAGAAAAGGCAGCCCAGTCTTAGACTGACTTTGGGGCTATCAGTTTACCTGCTGGAGCACGCCCCTCTCTAAACTTCCTCCTGGATGAACTTTTCATGGTTGTGGCTCTTCAGTATAAAATATTACATACTGCTAAAGGACTACTTCAGCATGAGTCCCCATCCTGAACCAGCTTTGAAAGCAGAATTGTATGCAGTAGTATTAGGTTAACTTGCTCCACTCACCGAAACAGCTACAGAATCTTGTATATCTTTGTGACTAACCAGCTGCACGTTACCATCTTCATAGTAATGCACCTAAATTAAAGCAAGACCCGTGAATATATGGTGCTTTCACAAAAGGAGAACAAAGCTTCCCCATGGGAACAGAAGGTACAGCCAGGTAAGATTTTCCAGATGACTTTTTCTTTATACAGATCAGGCCATTTGTAGGTGATGTTTTGGAACAGGAACTAGATTTATACTAATAAACAAGAGTCGGACACAACTTAATGACTAAACAATAACAAATCAATGAAATGTTAGTAGCTGCACAGGTTTTGCAGCTGTCCACCAACACATTGTTCTCTGCTTAAAGGACAATTATCGGCTAATGACTTAATGACTGAACAACAACAAAAATCATAAGGCAGATGAATCTGTAGGATTGCACTAGAGGGCTTAGAATTCAACACAACTACAAAGTGTGCATTGCCTTATGTTCCAATCTATTTGTCCAAATAAATTCTAGTTCATGAGCCCATTGTCAGGTATGTCTTCTAATTGAGCTTCAACTCTTAGTCAAGGAGTTTTATCTGGGCACAGGGATGAAGAACCCATCAAGTAAAGCCCAGTTGTGTTTACAGGTATTGTTTATGTCTAGATTAACTGACCTGGATCTTGAGCACCGCAGCCACCTGAGCTGTTGGTGGCGTGATGGTAAACTTCCATTCTGACCTCCAGCGCCCATTCCTACACAGAAAAAGAAAATACAGTGACCCAAGGAATCCTAGTAGTAAAGAGGGAATGATCAAGGAACACTCCTCAACACAGATTTACTGTGACAAGTTATTGAGTTATACAGTACTCTCTTATTCAGGTATTTTCACCTGGATAGATTTACTGTGACAAGTTATTGAAGTTATACTCTCTTATTCAGGTATTTTCACCTGGAATAAAGAGAACACAACCTTCCAGCATCCTCATAATGAAGAGAAATAAGAGAGCGTTTCCAGCATACTTCTGTTCTTGTTCAGAAAAACAAAGAAGGTATTAGTTATGTAAAACTGCATTTCTAGTGTCATTCCTATACTCAGTGACACCTTTGGTTATTTATTTCATGGGTGGAACAAGGTAAATTAGGATCAACAAACAGAGCTCATTTGGCAAATATTCCTGACTGCTAGTAGTTTAACAATAAAATGTCTTTCACACTATTTTAAAATATACTGCTGAAATAAAAGAATTGGGAAAGGGGAGACTAGGAGTGAATTTGTACATGGAAAGACTGAATTCAGTTCAGTAGTACAAAGTATCTTAAATAAAATTCTTTAATTCAAACTGCATGCCATTTTTGCCTTGTTTAGGTTTGGCAGATCTTGGAGTTCTAGTGAAATCCAAAGCAGATACAGCAAACAACTGATTTATTCTGTCAGTAGAGTTAGGTAGTCAAGGCCCTTGATTGCCCGAGCAAGTGACTCTTCCTTTTACAGGTTGATTCAGCTACATGTGACTTACGTGCTTCTTTACACTGAATGTGCAATTTTTAAAAAACACATAGCACAATCAGGGTTCTCATCATTTACTGACATCTCAGTGGGCTAGAAAGTTCACTTTATGCTCCACTGCAGATTCTCTCCCAAAGCAAATTCCAGATGCAAAGGGAGAAAGGGTTACATAATACTTCCATAAACTACCACCCCAACTGATACTTTTGAATTTATAAAGCATGTATTTCAGGTGTAGCTTGGACCCCTGATCTGCCATCAAGAAATTATTCTTTTTCCAGAAGTGACTAATCATCTCCTTTTCTATACAGAAGTGACAAGTAAGATGCACCAGTAAGAACAGTTTTGTGGCGAGTAAAAATTAAAGAGAAGTATCATATGCTTACCAGAAATTTTTAGGCTGAAACTGGTGACTTTCAATGCAAGCAATGACTGTTGGCTGTCCATCTATAGTCTTACTGTAAACCTGCTTCCAGAAGAAGCATTCATATAAATTAGAGAACATATATTCCATAAATTCAATTGATGTTAAACATTATAGCAGTGAAGTAGATCTTTTCTGTGGTATCATTCTTTAAAGGCACACCACAATGTAAAGACATCTAATCAATTGCTTCTTCACCATCTAACACTCATCCTTATACTGCCATGCAGTTGTCATTTGATTACACAATTGGCCTTGTCCATGTGGTAGCAGATCTTTACATACTACATCAATATCATTTAATGACTCTATGGAAAATCAGCTGCCATCCTACTGCCATACTGTCTAAAATATACCCATTTATTTCCACTGCTCTTTACCAGCAATACCAAGATGAAACTCAATAGCTTATGTTCCTGACATATCTCATTGTCATGGTTTAGGTTATTAAGGCTAAAATGTAATTTCTGAATGGGATTTATAGTCATGGAATTGTGTAGAAGGAATCCATATTGGTTTGTGTTAGTATAACTAGATGCTTCAAGAAGCTGTTTTATCTTAGAGGTAGTTGAAATTTTCCATGAAGCAAGCTGGGCCAGAGACGATAAGGGTCAAGACACAACATCAGGAAGATGGTCAACAACACCTGCACATCCCATGGGAAATGGAGGTGGAGTGTGAAGAGATAGCCCTTCACCCTGATTGGTTTACGTCACAGGAGAGTGGAGAAGGGTGGTTCCAGCATGGAAGAAAATGGAGAATGAGACAGAGAAAGGACTGAGATTTTTAGGGGATTTTTGCCTTGATGGATTTTGGAGTTCCAAATGCTATTTTTTTATTATTATGCTAGAATGCAGTTAAGAGTAAGGATAGAGAAAGGGGGGCTATGCCTTGCCTACCTTTCAAGCTGTTTTTAGAGTTTTTTAAATTTTATTTTTATAACTGGAATTTGCTAAAGTTCTAACTGCTTTGATTCATGGAAATGTACTTGAATGCTATGCTTTGCAACAAACTGAATATCTCTAAATACTTTATTTTTCTAATAAAACAATAATTGTTAAAATCTTATGTTTGGTCTCTTGAGCAGCAAACCTGCATGATTATTTTGTAGGCCACAAATATGCTACTTGAGTCCATTAATTGCCTGAGTTTTGTTCGTCTTGGCAGACTCCAAAACTAATGATTTTTATCTTGGTTTTTCTCTCAGTTAATTGCTAATTTGAACAGACTTGGGAAAAGGAGTAAGTGGTCCTGCCTGGCTGGATACCTGGACTCAGCTCAGCTGATTTAGGAGTATACTTGCCCCTGGAACCTCTCTGTTCAGGCTGCAGGTTATCTCTTAGGAGGTCTGTGAGCTTACACTCATATATGTTACTTATGTGCAAGTTTTTACATGCACCTCCTTTCTTGTCTATATTCTCAGAACTATTTCTCTTCCCTCATATTTGAACTGTCTAACACGTACCATAGATAATTTAAAAACATAACAATAAACACATTTTAAACATTTCTATGTACTGAGAAGATGCAGTGGTTCTCAAACTGGGGTTCCTAAATGTTCTTGGACTGCAATTCCCAGAAGCCCTCATCACTCGCTGTGCTGGTCAGGATTTCTGGGAGTTACAGTCCAAGAACATCTGGGATCCCAAGTTTGAAAACCATTGGCCTAGAGAAGAATTACTTCAAGCTTCTTCAATTCAATGCTCACATTACACGACTCAATTACTACTGTATTTTACCTTAATCAGCATAAAAGCAAGAAAGCATAAAAATTAGGCTGAATACTTAACAGTGCAAAACCCTTGTGGATAGTGATCTTTGACATATGCTCTTAACGCAGTATCACAGGCATCTCTCCAGGATTTTAGTGCTGTATCTATGTCCTCCAGCTGGGGGTCACTTGCTTCTTTCCTTAAATGATCAAACTTAAAAGAAATCCTGTTCCTTGGGTCTAAAAACCGGCCATTACCAAGATCACCATGTTCTGTGATTAAGACCTTAAAGAAAAAGATAATCCCATAGTGAGAGCAGTGACAAGCCTATGGCAACTGTACCTTCTTTTACCAGATTTCCTTGCCTTTTGGCTTGAGGTGAATTTTTGCTTAAAAATAAAGGTTTATCTCTGTTTTTCAACAGAATTAAAACTTCTCTAATCATTTTATAGAAGATACTATTATATCACAGGCAAAGAACCAAATTTAGCCTCATCTCCTGTATCTTATTCTTCAGGAAGCTCAAAGCTGTCTCATTCCAAAGAGGCAGCTTTGTTAGTCTGCTTGAGTATGTTGGTAAAAATAAAGGGAAAAAAGAAAATCAAAACAAAAGATGAAATATTGTGGCATCTTAAAGATTAATAGATTTGTTTCAACATGAGCTAATCACAAATTTCAGTACATGCATACTGAATTTAGTGGGCAGGAAGAAGATTTTTAACTTACCTGATCATCATAACCATCTATTTTCACAGGAGCAAACTGATCCATGTTGTATTGGGCAAATGCACTATAAGAGACAAGTGGCAAGTAAATTAATGCTGGAGTCTAATATTAAAGGAAACCATGAGCATACCTCCGTTGTTTTTTTAAAAAAATCACACATTTATGGCCTTTTATTCATATATTCTTATTACAGAAGTAACATGCAGAACTTCTAGCAGGTTTATAGTGAACAGAGAACTTGAAACACAGTAACTGGTTCTCTCTATTTCTTTCAACTTTACTGAACATGCAATATTTCATGGATAAGCCACTCAATTAAATCCAACACGGATATTATCAGGCAGTGTTTTAACTAATCTTGAGGATGCTATTAATGAAACCTTTCAAATAGTGCACTGACAGTATAGCTCACTGCCTGTCAGTTACAAGGCATGGCAAACAAAAAAATGTACATATCATAGTAGTCCCACTTAGTAGGGCACTGCACTAATGGGGTGGTATAGAAATGAACTGAACTGAAATGAAATAAATAAATAAATAAGAAAGAATTTGAGAGTAAAGTCCTTGAAACAGTAAACTTTACTATTTTGACTGTGATGAAAAGAACTGCTTTAGGTTATTCTTTGGCTAACAGACCCAAATTACACATCATAATTTGCTTTGAATTTCAGAAACAGTTGTTAGTACAGTAGGTCCCCCATATCCTCTGGGGATTGGTTCCAAGCCTCCATGGATACTGAAAACCATGCATAATAGCAAACATGAGAGAGAGAGAAAGAGAGAGAGAGAGAGAGGTAAAAGGAAAAAGAAAAAGAATTTTTTTCACATGCATTACCAGAACTGGCCACTACAGGGTGCCAGAGACCATACTATGTATTTTTCGCTAGTAAGTATTCAGAACACAATCTTTGGCTCTCTCTAGTGGCCAGTTTTGGTAAACATGTGAAAACTTTTTTTGCTGGATTTTTTTCTTAATATTTTTAATATTTTCAGACTGTGGATAAGTGAATACTGATCCCATGGATAAGGGGGGGGGGGTTTGTACTGTAGCATATGAATTAAAGAAAATAAGTCTAAAACTTCATTGTCTGTGCAAATCTTAATGTTTGAATTCTGACCTTTACATTTATTATTTTAAGAAGAACCCTGCCTGCAATTCCATTTATTTTGAATATATGTGCAGCTGAAATCCCATATTTATTATACCTGACCAATCAGTTAATAAAATTAAATAACTTAATCTCATTTCCTTCTGTATATTTCTCTAAAATGTCTATACTACAGCACGATTCCAAAACTGGATCAACAAGTCTAAAACATTTCTGGGCTAGCATAATATCACTACTAGAGTAATTACTGTTAAGGAGATAACAAGTGCTTATAGAAGTAACGGTGCCATTTAAAACAGGTGAAGATGCATTCAGTGTTACTACTGTAGCTCACAAATTTCCTTGCAACATCAGTCATGTCGTGCCCTCTCTTTCAAATTAGCAGTACTTACTGTGCTGCCCCTTCCCTAAGGAGATTGTCATTGTTAAGCAGCAACCGAACATCTAAGAACAAATAAATAAATAAAAACATCAAAAATCTGCAGATAAGCAACAGCTTCACCATACAGCTATAATACAGTATTTACTGATGGTCAGATAAAGGTTTGAATAACAATCCGTTTGACCTTTAATATCAACATGTTTTACTGACAGGATTAACTTTCTAAGATTGTGGAAGTTTCTACAGTATTAGAAATATAGGAAAATCTAAACTTTATGTATAAGGAAGAAATACTTAAAGCTGTTTTCACTACTCATTCTCATGGCAATTTTTTTAAAGTGTAGTTCATGCCTAATGTTAGGCTTAAAGTAGAGGTGGGCAACATCTAGCCTCCATGGCTTTTTCTGAAGTCCACACAATGCCTGAGTCCCCAGTACAAAATATTTCCGAAAACATGGGGCCAACTCTACCATGTTTTGAGTAGCCAATAAAACTCCTATGACCCCTCAAACACTATGTGTAATATTTTTTTAAATTAAGATCCTTCTTCAGTTAACAAAAACACACTGTAGTAATCTTACAGTATAAATCTGCTGCATTATGTTTTCCTAACAACAACAGAACTCTACCATGTTTTGAGTAGCCAATAAAACTCCTATGACCCCCCCAAACGCTATGTGTAATATTTTTTTTAATTAAGATCCTTCTTCAGTTAACAAAAACACACTGTAGTAATCTTACAGTATAAATCTGCTGCATTATGTTTTCCTAACAATAACAGGAACAGCATACATACTGTGTCAAGATTTAACTGATATTTAGGTTTTTGGCTAACATTTGTATCTATTATACAATACTAGTCAGTATTTTTATAATTTTGATTGATACCACCATCACCACCACCACAGGCTTTGGGACAATATCAAGAAATTTCACACAATATCATAAGCAGCTGCAGATTTGAGATATATTATCAGAGCAACAAAAAACCCTGCAACATTAGGGACAGCATATATACTACATCAATATTTAACAGACACTTAAGTTTTTGGTTAAAACTTGTATCTGTTATATAATACCAGTCAATGTTTTTAAAATTTTGATTGACTGTGCATCGTATTTTTGAATAATAATATATGAAAATTAGCTTTGTAGGAAAAGCAAAACATAGAATATAGGTTTCTATAGCATGGGCACTGTGATTGAAGTGAGAGGTTTAATAACTGTATGCTGTCAAGTCAATTTGGACCGATGGCAACAGATTCTAGGTAAGAGAATACACTGAAGTGGTTTACCATTCCTTTCTTCTGGGGGTACCTTGGGATTGTGGAGCTTGCCTACAGTCACACAGGCTGGCTCTTCTCCCAGGAGGCACAGTGGGGAATCAAATCCCCATCCTCCGGCTCCACACCCAGATACCTAAACCATTGAACTAGCCAACCAGAGGTTAGAAGCCTCACAGAAATATGGAGAATCTGACTGGGTAAACTCCATATTGAATCTGACGGGCTAAACTGAAAGACTGTGTTGTCCAGAGTGTTGTGTTACAAGACACTGAACTGTAATCAGGTGTTGAAATTTTAGCCAAGGCCATGGGTCTCATGGCAATTTTTACAGTATATATTTTTAATTGCATTTTAATTATTTTGCCCTTTTATTTTGCCTTTTTATTGTATTTTAAATGTTGTAAGTCGCCCAGACACCTTCAGGTAGTGTGGGCAGCATATAAGTTAAACAAACAAACAAACTATAAAAACAATACATATCTCTTGTGATTCTAAGGTATGATAATTGTGATGTGCAATTTTTAAAGTTTTAAATTAGAAACATCAGTGATTTCTATTGTAAAGTGGAAGAAATATGCAATGAGTATTTAAAAACAACACAATAAAGGATTTTTTAAAAAAAAACAAAAGACTTTGCAAGCCATTGTATAATTTTTGGTATTAAAACCAATTCAAAATTGAGATGATTCCTAGAAAGCTTTAAGTCCCTTGATTTTGAATGTCAGACTCCCCCAGTCAAAATTCAAAGCCTTGTTTTCAAATAACTTAATATTGTGTTCTAATTATAGGCTACAAACATGCAATGATTATTTTGCTTCAATTGAATCAATTGGTTTTTTTAAACTTACCGTTAAACACTTCATTGAATTCTCCAGGAGGTGCATGGGTGATAAACTTTGCAGCTATACGCACCTGAGGAGAAATTAGATGGCTTTAACAAGTCAGCTTGTTCAGTGGGCTTTAAACTGGTCTTTAGATTGGATGTAACTGAAGCTAAAGACATACATAGCAACTATGGGTGCAGTCATAGCAAATTCACACAGTGCACAAATCAAAGAGCAAATGTCCCTATGGTCCACTGAATATTCTTGGTTATGTCCTTTGAGAATTCATGGATTGATCTGGTGAACTCATAACTTATTTTAAGTACAACAAACCACACAACAATTATCATCAAATGATTTACTGGAATGCTACTGAGTTGGAGGGAAGACTTAATTTACAATTCCTACACCTTTAACAATCATGCAAGGGATAGCATTTCAGCCACCTACAACATCATGACAGAATCAGAAGTACTGTATTGTTGAAATTCCCTTATCTATGTAACTTCACAGATTGTGAAGCCCTAATGAAAAGAAGTGTGCCCTTCCAATATTAAGCAAATAGATAAATTCCTATGACCTACTGTCTATCTTCATCTTTTAGAGACATATTTTATGGACTTATCATCATCTCCCTTAGATGTACTACCTACTCTAGCCAAAATCCAGTTGAGGAAATGTTCAATGTAATGGCAAAAGTATAAGCAGACTTATGTTTTGTTCAGGAAACTGGGCACACAGTCATATGAAGGATAGCCCACCAAAAGGTAAGAATTGCTGCGTAACTGCCTTTTTGTGTGCAGTTTTTAGCATTAGGATTTTGACCTCTATATAGAGGTCTAGTTTTCTCATCAAATAAGTTTGCTCAAAGAAATCTGGCCAGATTTCAGTTCTCCTACATTGTGGTATAGAATGTAGATCCAGCTTTTGGAGAGGTCTTAATCTGCTATTTGGATGGCCATGGCCCCTTTCTCATAGTATCATTATCTAACAGATCTCCAGTTTTTAATTGTCTTTTCCCATTCAGAAAAGTTGAAATTCTTAAGGCTTAGTTACTTCCACAGTGAGAATTTAAAACTAAAATATACTGGTATTTCTTGTATCACACTTTTGTATTTGCCTTTGTTTGTTCATTACTAGAGCATTGCCCAAGAACTTCTCTGCAACTGAAATCAGCCCCTGGGCAACAAGAGTTTCCCCACTCCTGGCCTGTTTATACCATGTATTCAAAATGAGACACCTGCATTATAGTTTCAAGTAGCAATTACTTTTACTGCTGGCATTTGATAACAGGAATTTTGACACAGCCGGTGTATATAGCTATCCTATATCATACTTGATTGATCTGTTAGATTTTAAATACCCTGTTTTCCCGAAAATAAGACCTAACCTGAAAATAAGCCCTAGTAGGATTTTTCGGGATGCTCGTAATATATGCCCTATCCCCAAAATAAGCCGCAGTTAAGTGAAAACCCGCCCTCCACCACTGTGTAGCAACCAGAAGATGACATGACTGTGTTTGGATAAATGTAGATTGTTGTACATAATTTTTTTTAAAACATCCCCTGAAAATAAGCCCTAATGCTTTTTTGGAGCAAAAGTTAATAATTTTTGGAGAAAAAATTAATATTTTCAGGGAAACACAGTATATCTTTTTCATGTTGATGGAACTTCATCAGCAATACAATGTCAAGTAAGAAAAGATTTCACCAACATCGTATTTTTTGAAGAATACAGGAAGGAATTCTGGCTACTGTATCCCATAGCAATCTTACTAAAGTCTAAGCTGAAATTCCTAAAGTCTGACATGGCCACTGTGAGCAACTCTGCAAATGTTTATCTCTACAGTGTTACTCCTTATTAATAGATCTGTATAAATATATCTCTATATATTCAGATTCAATTAAGTCTTTAAAAACTAAGAACAGCACACATAGGGCAGAAATTAGGAAAGATCCATAAGCTATGAAAGTCAAATCTTATACTAGTTTTAAAAAAGTAGTGTTAGCAACTCATTTGATGCTATTTCCCATCAGAAATATTAAGCACCAGAATAGGCAAAATAAGCTAAGCAAAAGCAATGGCTGTGTGGCTCTTTTTCTGTCTTTCAATGACCAGAGGAAAGCTATAACAATGAAATACATGCCTGCATGTATTTGATCATGTATGTGTAGCCATACATATTCTATCAGAGCTCTTTTATAATTGACAAACAGATCTAGCTAGGCAAATTAAAAATCAATGGAGAAACATTTTGGTTTCCAGGATGCCCTGTATCTGACCTTAAAGCAGCCATTTTTGAGCAAAGAAACTTTCAAAGGGAGACTGCTGAACCTTTAAGCAAGCAATCTAATTCTACATCTTTGTGGCCTGAATTGGGATAAAAGGTATTTTGATAATACTCCATGCAATTATCTTACCCTATTCTTATGTTAAAAATAAGCTGTTTAATGAATGGCTACTGTTAATTAATTACCACTGTCTAAGGAAAGCTTTTTCTCTGATGTCACTGTTTACACACCTCATTTACTATGTAATTATAGGTGCATTTTACACTAACAGTATACATCTAGTTGATTCCAATCCATGAAAACATATGCCACCATAAATCTGACAGTTTTTAAGGGGCCAGATGACTCTGATTTTTGTCTTGCATAGATACCACAGCCTCTCACAAGATTAGAAATGCAAATGTTGTACTTACACATTTTGTTTGAAATCCTCTATGAAAAGTTTATTGATCATAAACATTTGACCAGCTTCAAATCAAATCACATAGATCAAAGCCAGAATAGCTGGATCCAGCCAATGTGACTGCTATGCTATGATTATTTTGTACTGTACTTTCCGTCAGTGATGGAGGTATTCTGGAAAAAGTTTAACTGGACCATTTTCCAGTGCTGTAAATATACTGTAGTTTGATTTAAACACTTGCCTTTAACTTCTTTCACCAAACTGAACTACTGTATCCTAATCACCCGAAGTATTCCAATGGAAATATGTGATATAATGCAGGCTACAGAGACTGGCAAATGTTAGGAAGAAAAACCTTAAGACCACGGTCAAACAGCCTGGAAAACCCACAACAACCATATGATGTAATGGTTTGAGTGTTAAGACTACTTTTCTTCTTCATTAGCCCACTGACATTCATGGTTGGATATAGGTGCCTCCTTTTTGCCTCTATAAATTTGTATTCTGTGATGCCTGCTAAACTTTTAGAATCATTTATTCATATAGTTGCAGTCTTCCCATATGCCTTCACCCAATCCAATGTACGTAATTATCAGAGCTTTATACCATCTCATTTACCTACTTGTCTCATGCCCTTGCCCATCTCCATTTTAATGATACAATCTGTTATTTTACATCTATTACTTTAGGTCAAATAATGGTGTGAACAGGGCTTAAATCCCCACGAGGTCTCAAGTCTCATTGTTTGTTCCTGAACCAATTATGATCTCTCATGTTGCATGTGTTCTTAGCACAACTGCATTCTTGTTGCCTTGCAAATCAACAACAAATCTAAAGTGTAAGTGTGAGGATAAAAGTTTGAGAAAAGAAATGGAACAGTGTTCTGTGTGTCTCTTGAAAGTGAAAAAACATCACCTCTTTGATTCTGATTTGATCTGCACCATCAAAAGGTGAATTCAGAATTTAATATTGGCTTGGATTATTATGTGAATCTGTTTTATTTTATCAATTTTCTGGAAATCAATGAAACATTTGTAGCCTTACATACTTCCTAAGGAAAATTAGTAGAAAAACATTAATGAAATAACATATCTGATACAGGCTCTGATTTAAATAATCTTTAAAGAATACAAAATGGCTTTGTCAGCTAATAAAACTTAGAGACCCCTAAGGTTTCCAAATATTGCATAGGCATGTATTCTTTCTTAAAAGTAAATTTTATGAAACAACTTTAAAAAAAAGACGTGGGGTAACTTCTGCAGAAAAAAATTAAGCACTAGAAAAGTTCTGCGGTACTTCTTATGCAAAAAATAGTTGGAGGGGAATGAACATTATGCATATCAGCTGTATTTGCCCCATGAGTGAGTATCAATACACAAAACTGACGGACATACTCTACATACTTTTCCACTCAAATCTTTCTCTTTGTTGCATACCAAATAAAAATTAAAAAATCATTTTCTTCTCCTTAGTTAAATGTTTTAGCAAGGGTCACATGATTCTCAGAAGTCAGGGAAATCTTATTTATAAAACCAAGACCTTTTATTAGAATATGATAGAACATACAAACATGTATTGAAATTTAAATATGAACATCAAAATTCCTGACAGTGTCCATATGTAGAGAGAACATCAGTTACAATTACACTGAAAAATTCAAATCATGTTTCCCTGATCTGGAGCCCTCCAGATGTTCTAGTCTACAAACTCTACCATCTTCAGCCACCACAACCTTTGCAAGCTATACTTGAACACATCTGGAGAATACCACCTTGGGGAAGTTTCACTTATACAAAGAAGAAATAGCTCCAGTTAAGACTATTCCGCTTTCAATTTCCAACTCATTCCAAATCTTAATTTAAACACAAGTCTTTGTAAGATGCCCATGTTCTTTTACACTTCCATTATTCATGTGTTGTACTCCATACTACTATCAAACAAAATAAAACCTGACCATCTAGAGTAAAGATGTGGATCAAAGGATGTCATCTCAATGGAATGACCTGTGCCAAGTGAGGAACTAGAGAACCATCTTACAGGCTTTCTTGAACCTTTCAGTAGTTTTCAATACCATATTGATAGCATGGCATCTTTTTGTACAGCATGTCCACGCTGGAACGTGCGAACATCATATTGCATGGTCTGGACAAAAGACTCAAGATAGTGCTCTGGGGTTCTTGCTTGGCTCCATATCAATTCTGCTACAGGGTTCCATGAGGCTCTGTCTTACCAACATCCAGATCAGAATCAGGAAGCATTTACTCTGGACCACACCTGCAGCCCTACCCAAAACCATTGAGGAAAGTTATCTTAGGGTGTAGACTGAGATGTGAGATGCATCCCTATATGGATATGACATCCATATGAACAGAAAATTACCCATATAAATAGAACTGTTTGTAAGGGCTGAAGCAAGAGCACACCCTACTATCCAGGCAGCTAGAGTAAGAAAATATATGTTCACTTGGCAAATTTGTTTCAATTAGCTGTCAGTTCTCCTTTTTTTTGCAAAAAAGTATAACAAATATGAATTCTGTGTCTGAAAAACATTACTACAATACTTATTTTTATTTATTTGCAAGAAACTTAACAGCAATTGTCTCATGCAACAGTTTTTTTTTATCATAATGACAAGATAATGTCTGCTGAGAAAAAGGATTCCAAATGAAGAGATGGCCTTTATGACTGGCACACTACACACAATCACAGCATGCCACATTCCTGGTGTGTGCAAGCAAATGATCAATACATGGTGCGTGGTCTGCTGAGTTTCTCATCTACTATACTGAATGAGACATACTGTATTTTTCGCTCCATAAGACGTATCTCTCCATAAGACACACCAATTTTTTGGAGAAGAAAACAGGAAAAAAATTATCTGGGAATTTCGGCCTGCTGGGCCAGCGGGTCCTGGAAGGCACTCTCGGACTCTTTGGAGGCTTCCCCCACCCTCACCCCCGCTGGTCCAGCACGCCGAAATTCCAAGATAATTTTTTTCCTGTTTTCTTCTCCTAAAAATTTGGTGAGCCTTATGGAGAGGTCCGTTTTATGTAACAAACCCTAGGACCCTTTGGAGGCTCACCCAGCCCCCCTGGGGGCCAGAGGGGATGAAATGGCCATCTTCAGGGACTCTTCTGAAGCTTCCCAAGCCTCAAGAGTCCCAGAAGGTGGGATTTCGCCCCCCCTCTGGCCCTGTAGGGGGTGGGGGAGCATCCCAAGGGTCCTGAGAGGCAGACTCGGACCCTTGGGAGGCTCCACCCACCCCCATGGGGCCAGTAGGGGCAAAATCACCAGATTTGCTCCATAAGACGCACAGACGTTCCCCCACACTTTTTTTTTGGGGGGGGAGTGCATCTTATAGAGCAAAAAATACGGTAACAGCTTGGTAGATGGGGGATGTATGTATTTGTAGGTCCTCTGCCGATCCCTTTCATACACCTATTGGGACACTTTTGTAGCAGATGCTTCTTTTGTCTGTTAAAAATGAGGACTAAAATGCAGGGATATTGTTTGCCACTCTTCAGCTGACATTGTTGTAAAATGGTTACTGGAACTGTCATTGTTTTGTACAACCTCTGGAACAAAACATGACTCTTGGTGTATTAAAATGTCCCACTCATCTAGATGAGGGTTAAGTGGTGCATATCCTCTTCTGGAGAATGCTATAATCAGGTCTGCAGACAGTTTGGGAACACTCTTAGATCTATAATTATCAATAGAAGGGCGGCTTAGCGCATCTTTTAGCATCTGGCGGACATACTTGCACAAATATAGCCTTAGAATAGTTATTCATACTCTAATAACCTGCTGTTTGAATTACTGCAGTGGATTACACTTGTGGCTACTTTTAAAATTTCCAGCAAAACTTCATCGGAAATAGAGTGCTGTTAACTGAACCAACACAATATTATTCTAACATTCTGGTAGTCACAGTAGCTTGCAAGGGCTTACCAAGAACAATTTAAGGTAATAATTATATAACATTCTTAACATTTTGCAACCAGGAAGGTGTATCTCCTTCTATACCTATGCACTAAAACTTTAACCATCTCAGGTCTTCCTCCAAACAAGGTGCACCACATGGCATTAAGAAAGGGTCTTTTCAATATAACATCTCATTCTTGGAATGCCTTCTTCAACGCTTTCTTGGGGTCACTGCGGCTTATTTGCCATCAAGTGAAGACCTTACTGTCAGAAATGTTTGTATTGGATTTAGATCTTAGTATGTTCATTTATTCTGCTGGGTTTATTTCCATCATGCTATATTATTGCACACTCTGCTTCTAATCTATCTGTACACGACCAAAATAATTCCAGATATTGGGCTGTTCATACATTTTAAAAAATAAATCAACAAGGAAGATCATACATGTACATTGTCCTGACCTTCTTATAAGGATAACATAAAAATACAGTAAAAAGGTTTGATCGTAAACCTCAGAGTATCACAGGAATGAAGCGAAAGGAGCATTGGCTGAGATACGGGGAAATAAAGGCTCAACTGAATTAAAAATCTGAACTCCACCATTAGTAAAATGGTCAATGCCCACACAACAGAGTGAAATGTTACCAGTTAGGGATAACCCCTCAGACAATCTACTTCCTCTTAATCAAAAGGATTATTGCCAAAATATTTTACCACCAAGATTATTTATAAAGTAACGTAAGGTGAAAACAGAGAAAGCAAAGCTGAGAAAAGGGAACCTTAAGGCTTGCAGAGCTTGTTTGCTACAAGATTCTCAGAAGTAAGGTCAAGAGAAACAGGAAGGTCAAAAGACATCACGACGTTCAATACCCACGAATATCTATCCTCCCGCTTTCTTCAGGAGCAAACCAGAAACGACCCAACAACTTCCTACCTTCTCTTCATCCGTCACCCGATCCTCGAAGTCCGCCATTTTGACTTTTCTGAGCACAGCCCGGCCCCACCTGCCACCCCCGCGCAAAGCGTGCTGGGAAGGAAAGAGTCACAGAGCCGACGACAAGCAGCCATCCGGCCGGATGTCAAAAGTGGGTGCCGGCTTGGTTTGCTCTCCAGAGATCTCCTTGAAGCCGGCGGCCGCCATATTAGCTATGGGCACCTGCGCTCGCTAACGTCGAAGTAATATAGCCGTGACTCCGATTGCCGTGCGGCACTGACTGAAGTTCTCAACCCCATGTTCGATAAGGGCGCAGTCGGCGGAGCACGAATATAGTTTTCCCATATCTATTCCCGTGCAATGCCTCAACGTCCTAACCCTGGTTGTCACTCAAAGTGCAGTAGACTAGAATAGCGCCACACCTTGGCGCCATAAAGTCCCGTCTACTTTAACTGAAAATGTGTATCACAGACCCTAAAAGCAAAATACAGTATCTCTGCCGCCCGTGACACTGCTTTCCGATGATAGTAATCCTCTCTCTCTTTCACACACACACAAAGTAAAACCCCTTCTCAGCAAACGACCAAATTGGCCCTGGTTTCTAACAGCCCTCTCACGAAAGCTACGCCAACTGTATAAGATGCGCTTCATCCAAGCAGGTTATGAGGAGACCGCTGCCCCGCTTTGCCTTTTAATGTGTGAGGCTGGACGACCCAACTAAGCTTACACGCCGGCCTGGCTGCCCGACTTCCACCGCAAAGCCCGGCAGGCAGCCTCCAAAGGAACAAACCGCCTCCCTCGCCCAGGGCATAGAGTTGAAGAGGCTGAACGGCGCGCCCTCTCCCTTCTCTCAGCGTCGCTCGCATGGCGGCGGCAGCGGCGAGCACGGTGGGCTCCGCCTTCTCGCTCCCCTTCGCCCTCGGCCGGCGGAGCCTCAGAAGCGCAAGGCGGGAGTGATGGCGGAGAGCGATACTGTGGAAGGGGACGCGGCGCCGGCGCCTTCGCCTTCTCCTCCTCCTCCTCCGCCGCCGTCCAGCCACTGTTCATGGCGATGGGAGCGGCTGAGGCTGGTGACGGGGCCCTGGGCTCGCAGCCTTGCTTTGGTGGCGGCCCTCGGCCTCCTTTACTTTCTGCGCGGCCCGCTTCGGCTGCGGGACAACTTGGCGGCAGGTGAGGGGTGGCCGGGGCGCCGCGGGAAACATCTCTTTCTGGGACGGTAAAGCAGGATGCCGAGGAGGAGGGGGAGGAGGAGGGGGAGACCCGAGCACGCCAGGTTGTGCGAGGAGTCGAGTAGGGGGAAGCTTTGAAAAGAACGGGGGCCCGTTGGCGTGTCAGGCTCCCCGATTGGCGCCCTTAGCCCTTAAAACTTAGTAGCTTGAGCGAACGGGGAGCGGGGGAGAACTCTGCACGTGCTAAACCACTGTCTTTACTCCTTCCTTCAACCCAGGGCTGTGCCTAGGGAGTGATTTTGGTCAGAAACATAGAGGAAAGAAAGAATGGAGATTAAGATAAGAAAGGCGGTTTTAGGCAATCCCCTTGTTTTGTTCTTGTATTCAGTGTCTCTAGTGTATATTTCCAACCGGTTTCGCTCTCAAGAGATCTCATTATTTCCAGCGTAGATCTGACTCTAATATCAGCCGCTATTGCTTTTTGGTTACATTGCTGTTTCTAGGCAGTGTTTTCTTTTCAGTTTACAAAACAATGTTTTTCTCCCTCTCATTGGACCTCCTGCAACCCTGAAAAATGATAGCCGATAATAAAAGTGTCCTTAAAGCAGAGAACAATGTGTTGGTGGACAGCTGCAAAACCTGTGCAGCTACTAACATTTCATTGATTTGTTATTGTTTGGTCATTAAGTCGTGTGGGACTCTTTGTGACCCCATGGACCAGAGCACGCCAGGCCCTCCTATCTTCCACTGCCTCCTGTAGTTGTGTTAAATTCATCTTGGTTGCTTCGATGACACTGTCCAGCCATCTCATCCTGTGTCGTCCCCTTCTCCTCTTGCCGTCAAACTTTCTCAACATCAGGGTCTTTTCCAGGGAGTCTTCTCTTCTCATGAGATGGCCAAAGTATTGGAGCCTCAGCTTCAGGATCTGTCCTTCTAGTGAGCACTCAGGATTGATTTCCTTCAGAATGGATAGGTTTGTTCCCCTTGCAGTCCAGGGGATTCTCAGGAGTCTCCTCCAGCACCACAATTCAAAAGCATCAATTCTTCGGCGGTCAGGCTTCTTTATGGTCCAGCTCTCAATTCCGTACATCAGTACTGGAAAAACCATAGCTTTGACTATGCGGATCTTTGTCGCCAAGGTGATGTCTCTGCTTTTTAAGATGCTGTCTAGGTTTGTCATCGCTTTCCTCCCAAGAAGCAGATGTCTTTTAATTTTGTGGCTGCTGTCACCATCTGCAGTAATCATGGAGCCCAAGAAAGTAAAATCTGTCACTGCCTCAATATTTTCCCCTTCTATTTGCCAAGAGGTGATGGGACCATGCAGTTTTCATGCCACAATACTTTGTGTTGCTTATGTTTTTTAGTATGGTATTTGTTTGATCTTTTTAGCATTTATATACTCACTGTTGGTTTTAATGTTAAGTAAGCTGCTATGGGTCTTTTAATGAGAAAGACAGGGTAAAATATTTTAAGTAAAATAAAATGAGCAAATTGGTTCTGTAATCTGTTGCTAGTCCATACTTAATTGGTAGATGGTAAAAAGCACACTGTTAAGTCTGCAATATAGTACAGTCCTTTCTGGAAGGTAACTGGAAAGAATATGTTCTATGGATAAAGAAAAATGCTGGGTGAGGAACTTTATGTTCACTCACCTGCTATACCAGAGGCGGTCAACACCGGACCAGGCTGCGGAGACAGACCTCTCCCTGCACGCACTCCCCTCCCCACAGCTGCTTTGTGCGCACACACGTGTGGCAGCGCTGGCATGAGCACTCCCCCACCCCTTCATGCATATGTGTGAGCACCTGTGCAAAGAGGTGGGCGCGCACGCTCCTGTGCATGCGTGAAGTGGTGAGGGAGTGCTCATGCCAGCACTGGCATCTGCACGGACTCTCCCACTGCTTCGCGCATATGCGAGAGACCGCCCGAGTGCACAGGGGGGTGCCCCGCCTTCTTCAGAGGATCACCTGGACCACTGTAGCTATACCACCAAGTTCCACCATTCTGAGGCCTTAATAGCTCTCTATAAACTTATAATTGTTACAAAAGTAAAATTGCTCAGAATTCTGCACAGTGCTTGATATGCTGTGTGTTTAATGCTTGTCTTTTTGTATCTAATCGAGCTTCAGACCACCGGCCACAGAAACAGCATTGGTCGCCCTGCAGGAGGACCTCCTGAGGGAGGCTGAGAGGGGCAATATGTCCTTGTTGGTCCTCCTCGATGTCTCAGCCGCCTTTGATATCGTCGACCATAGTATCCTCCTGGGGTGGCTCTCCGAGTTGGGAATCGGTGGTCTTGCTTTGCCATGGCTCTGTTCCTTTTTGGAGGATGGTCCCCAGAGAGTGCAGCTTGGCGAGATGACCTCCACCCCGTGAATCCTCAATTGTGGGGTTCCGCATGGGTCTATCATCTCGCCAATGCTATTTAATATCTATATGAGGCTGCTGGGTGAGATCATGCAGAGTTGTGGGGCTCGGTGTCATCAGTACGCTGATGACAACCAGCTCCACCTCTCCTTTTTTCCTAGTGCAGTGGATGCTGTTCCAACCGTTGAACGCTGCTTGAGGACCGTTCTGGAGTGGATGATGGCAAATGGACTGAGGTTGAATCTGGACAAGATGGAAATCATGCATGTGGTTGAGGCCAGTGTCAGTGGGTTGGGAAACTCCCTGGGGGTGTGACCCTTCCCACAAAGAGTGAGGTACATAGCTTGGGCATCTGTCTGGACCCGGATCTCACCATGGAAACCCAGGTGGCACCTGAGGTCTAGGCAGCTGCGTCCCTATCTAGATGTGGGGGCACTCACAATGCTGATTCATACCCTCATAATCTCAAGAATAGACTACTGCAGTGCTCTCTACATGGGGCTATCTTTAAGGCTGATGCAGAGACTTCAACTGGTCCAGAATTCGGCAGCCAGATTAACAACTGGGGTGAAGAAAGTCCAGCATATCTCCCCCACTCTGGCCACCCTTCATTGGTTACTGGTTCGTTTCTGCATCGACTTCAAAGTTATGATGATAAAATTAAAAGCTCTAAATGGTTTAGGACCTAGGTATCAGAACGCCTGCTCCCAGGCAGATCTGTCCTTAATACTTGTTCTTCACATGCGGGGCGGTTGAGGGCCTTGACCCCAAAGGAGGCCCAGAGGGAAAGAACAAGAAACCAGGCCTTCTTGGTGGTTGCCCTAGCCTATGGAACAATCTGCCTATTGAGATCCAGCTGGCACCCTCGTTGGATGGGTTCAAAAGAGCATTGAAGACCTAGCTCTTCTGCCAGGCTTTCCTGGAGCACTAAGATCTTGCCTTCCCTTTTTACCTTGCTTTTTGCCATCCTCTCCATCACCCTTTTTACCACCTTTATTGCCATTTGTTATGTATTAATTTATTTTTATAATGTTTTAATATTGTTCCTAATACTGTTGTTAGCCACCCAGAGTGGCCTGGTTGCCAGATGGTGTGGGATATAAATTCCATCCATCCATCCATCCATCCATCCATCCATCCATCCATCCATCCATCCATCCATCCATCCATCCATCTTTGTTTTAAGATTCATCCCATACATGTTATGGTTTGGAAACTTTAGGAAGATGAGCTTATTTAGACTAAAAAAACAAAACAAAACAAAACAAAAAAACCCAACACTATTAAATGTCAGTTCTGAATTTACTGCAAGAGCTGTCAGCAAACCATGTTTGATCTTGTTGCTTTTTAAATTAATCTGTTGCTTACAACAGTTGGTATTCAAAATCCAGAAAGAAGGCAATAAGTTGTTGGATGACTATGAAGTAGCTCTATTATTAATCATATTATTTAGAGGGAATTTCTGCTGAGCACAGTTTCTTCTTAAGTGTTCTTCATTTCACATAGAACAACCTTAGTTTACCTTCAGCTGAAAATCATGTCCTCTGTCTGTCTCTTGTCTTTAACAATCTTTGTTCAGGTTTCTTATAATTAAGGGATTCACTAAGTGGTGACACTTGATTTGAGTTTAATATTGCTAAGAGAGAATACACTGAACACTTGTTACAGACAGGACTGTCTATAGTGCATACTACAAGGAAACAAAAACTGGGTGCACAGTGTAACTTGCATGGTATTAGAAACTGTGATAACCGAAGAAATGCCCATATTCCTTTTGTGTAATCTATGTTACTTTATTGCTGTTATTTTGCATAATACTGCTCTGGTAGTCAGAGAAGGGGAAAAACACCACAATTTCCACTAGAGCCACCCAAAACCTAATTCAGCCAACCTTCTAGTGTCTGTAATTGGGACTGCAGTGCTATATACACGCACCACACAGTAAGGGCCATTGACGTCTGTGGGCCTTATTTCCAAGTGTAGGTGCATATGATAGTGTTGCCAGAGGTGCTGTTGGCATACTCAAGTAGACCTAGTCCAACTGACTGTCTTTTAAATTCTTCTTTAAATGCCTAGGATGGTTTACTGGTGGTTCCCTGTGTGGCTGGTGGTGCCTCCTGTAAGGATGAAAGGGGAAGCATGTGGACTATGAAAATCATTCAGTGTCAGGACACACCAGACAAAGGTGGAAGGGAGAGCCAAATACTTTATTTATTTTGTTTTATATTTTTATACCACCACCTGTAGCGAACAGATAGTCACTGGGTGGTGTATTGAGTATCACATAAACAATACAAAAATCAACAGTTAAACGTAATACTAATCAACAAATAATAAAGAATAATAATAAAAAGCAAGGGGCATTAATCCCAGCCTAATAGCCTAACCACTTAAACCTAAAATAATATGATAAATACTGTGACAAATGCTCATGGGTTTTCAGGTGTGAGACCATTAAAAGCTGTCCTGAAACTTCAGTTTTTAGCATCGTTTTAAAGGAAAGGAGGGATGGTGCTTGGCGAACCGCTAATGGTAAGTTTGTTTCACCAAAAGGCAACCAGGGTAGAACAGATTTCTAGCTATGGCTGTTCTGACACACACACACAGACACACACTCCCCCGGCATTGCCACTTTCATTGACATGTTGTGAGGAAGAAAGGGGATGGGGTAGGTTAGTTCAGGGAGAAATGTTCTGTTATTGACACAATTGTGTTTTTATTGACAGTGTCTATTTTCTTGAGCACGTTGACTCCAAAATTCTATGTTGCACTTACTGGGACTTCATCTTTGATATCTGGTCTGATATTTGTAAGTAATTTCCTTTTTCTTCTCTCTTATTGCAGCCTATATGATTCTTGCAGTGCAAGGGAGACAAAGACCTGTATTCTGTTGAGCTTCTGTTGAGTGAAAAGTCCTGCAATGATTCAGGATTGTATGCTTGTGCAAGTCTCATTATCTTATAGTTTTGCACTAGTAGGACTTTTCACTCTGTTAAAACTCAACAGACTGACCACACCATGCTGCTGTGAGCTCTGCATTCAAGTAAAAACTGGACAACTATCTGTTAGATCAGTTTTGATTGGGATCCCTGCATTAAGCAGGAGGTTGGAATCATGATTTAAACCAGGCTTGTCCAACCTGCGACCCATGGGCCGCATGCGACCCAGGTCGGCTCGTAATGTGGCCCAGTGCAATTTTTTATTTTTAAAGAAATTCCAAAGTTTCAAGTTACACTGCCGGCGCTTGCAGCCGGGGCACGTCACAACGGTAGGGGGGAGAGAGGGAAGGAAGGAAGGAGCGAGAGGGGAGGGGAGAGGGGGGCTGCGTGACTGCATTGCGCTGTCCCTGTCAATAGGTGGACCCCCTCTGGCCCCGTAAAGCCACCAGAGTCGAAGCTGCCAGCCTCTGCTGTCTGAGATCGCAGCTGCCGGTAAGCACGCTTGGAGTGGGGCTGCGGAGGACGGCTAGGGCTGCCCCCCCATATGGCCCAAACCAAATTTATGTGCGGCCCAAACCAAATTTTCATCTTCTAATATGGCCCAGGGAAGGTGAAAGGTTGGACACCCCTGGATTAGATGACACATTTTGTCCTGCTTTTAGGATTAAACTGTTGTTCCTAGTTGTGGATTTTAAACCTCCTCTGGAAAAGGGAATATTTTTTCTTTTATTGATGTTATTTTTGAGAACATAGCAACCATGAATGCTAGGTCTCTGTGTTAACAAAGCCACATGTTTTTGTTTTGAAACATGAACCTGTGTGAACTTTGCCAGTCTAAAGAGGAACAGTACCTTTGATACACAAACTGAACTCTAGATGGTGCACTTGTACCAAAAAAGTAGATAAATTAATGGCTTAGAATGGCTGTCGGGGCCAGGTGTAATAATTGTGTGCCGCCAGGTCAGTTCTGACTTAAGGCAATCCTTTCCAGGATTTTCTAGTTAGAGATTACTCAGAAGTGGTTTACCATTCCCTTCTTATCCTGGCTTCCTGGGACTGTGCAGCTTGTCTAAAATCATATAAACTGGTTCTTCTAGCCCACACAGTGGGGATTGAACTTCCAACCTCTGGCTTCACAGCCAAATACCTATCTCACTGAGCTATCCTGCCAGTTAGGAACCAGATATATCTATGAGACTTTTCTAATAATATTCTGAAAGTACATATGTTCAGCCTAGGAAATCCTTTGTGGTACTTCAGATCCTTATGTGTCTATGTAATATTCTTTAATTAGCTGTAAACTGAGGCAGAGAGCTTCACAGAGAATGAAAATAGTGTAAATGGTATTGCTCACCTATTTAGGTAAATGATTTGTGGGACCCCATGTTTATCCAGAACACCATGTTGTCTTCTTTGGAACTTATTATCTGATATGGGAAGAATAACTTCTGAAATGTCTGGGTAGCATTCTATGAAAAATGGTTTATATCTTGTATTATTGTTGTTTAGTCATTGAGTCATGTCTGACTCTTCATGACTCCATGGACCAGAGCACACCAGGCCCTCCTGTCTTCCAATGCCTCCTGGAATTTGGTCAAATTCATGTTACTTACAGCATATAATGCAATGTAGAATCATTTGGAATTTGACCTTTGATCTGTGAGTTTGAGGCTTCCTACACAATTAATTGTCTTGCCAATGACAGACAATATTGAATTTAATGCAGTAATCAATGTTGCTTGAAGCCATCAAATAACCTATTTTTTTTCAAATGCTACATTTATCAAAAGGCTTGCCATTGATGTTTTAAACACGAATTCACTAATTAGGAACAAGTGTTACTTTGCATTTTTATCTGGGGACAAAGTTTTCATCTTTGTTTGGTGGAAGGGAACTTGACCTGTTTAATGTTATTTAGGATAATTTAGATGATATGTATGTTTGTGAGGAATACACAACTGAGATTTTTACTCCATAGTATATTCTGTATACTACATTTTTGCCTTCTGTGTCTTCTTACAGATATTTGAATGGTGGTATTTCAGAAAATATGGCACATCTTTCATTGAACAGGTATCTGTGAGCCATTTGCGACCCCTTATTGGAGGTACAGAGAATTCTAATTCTCCCCAGGCAAATTTTTCTGCAACAACTGGAGAAAATGATATGAGCAGGCAGAGTCTGTCAGGTGATTTTACATTAAAGTTTTGATTTTGTGCAAATATGCTACATAATAATTGGCATTAGTCAAGACCGATAAGTACAAGCTATGGACTGCTTTTGTGAATGGTTTTAGATTTGTATAAGTTAATGTCATCTTGTGCTTAGGATAATTTAAAAATAAAAGATAAAAAACCAAAGTAAATTGGTGCAAGGAACAGTGAGGGTTGGGGTAAGTGGGATGTTAAATTTAGTATCATGATTTTCAGTACTCTTACACATTCTAAACAAATACGTTTTAGTGCCATCATAATATAAACTCTGCCTTCAAACTTACATGCAGTGACAGCTTTTTGGGGAATCTCTAGTATTGTATATCGTGTGATAAAGGTATTTTGTTTCCATGAAGAGGAGACTCAGTTCAAACAGTCACTGTCTTGATCATGATAAGAAGAATGAGGGACAAGGCACAGTTTCATGTGTCACCTGTGATTTCTCTTTTCCAATTTCCTATTTAGCATTCAAGATGATTTCCTACAATAGCTCTATCTCCAAATTCAGGATTCACAGCTTCTTTTCTTTTGTAGCGAAGCTGAGGAAAACAATCACTCTTCTTCTCAGAAGATTCTCTGCATATTTCTTCCAAGAAAGTTTATAGGAAAACTGACAAGATTTTTCAGATGTATGGCCATTTCGTCTGGAAGATATGCTGTGCTGTTGAGGATTATTACAATTCCTGCACAGAATGGTATCTTCTGTGTGCAGGATTTGCTGAAAGAGCATTAAGCTGCACAAAATTTGGTAGCAGAACAATGGACAAAGAAAGAGAGAGAGAGGGCGAGAGAAATAAAAAATATATGAGAACATGGTCTGTTTTGCAGGTAGCTTAGAAATCTCACACATACAGGAGAAAGTTCTGAGTGTGGAGTCTCAGCATAGTGAGGTGGCCATATCACACAGAAGGAGAAATTTTGCAAGTACTTGTCACATCCTTATTCCAAATTAAAGTTAACACTTTCCCTGTAAACACAAACAAGGGTTATGGTTTGAAACAGAAGTGTAAACCATACTTTGCAGATTTTAATGTTGTAGCTAATTAAGGCTGAGTGCTAAATGTGAATATGAAAAACAGATACCATAAAAGAGAAACAGAGGAAGATGTAAACCATTTCTGTTCCTCCATATTTAAGGAATAATTTTTTGTATTCAGGCCTGGTTCATGTGTAACAATATTTGACTGAAAACCATTAAGACTGTGTGCCATTTTGCTCGCAGAAGCAGCTTGCATGAACATGAAAAGAGATTATTCTCTCCCTTCTGTCTCTTTCCATGTGCTTTGAAAACCTACTCTGGAGGGCTGGAAACCCCTCGGGGTATGTTTTTAGATCCAATAAAGCAGTAGAGTAGGGGGATCTCAGTACTGCTGTGAGCATCATATTAGATTTAGGCCAATGCTGTTTTGGATGCAGAGATATAATTATCTAGAATAGGCAGTTCTAGCTTAATTTTAGGACTGAATTCTTTTTCTTCTTACAGAATGTAAGGTATGGAGAAATCCCCTTAATCTCTTCAGAGGAGCGGAATATAGCAGGTATTTTATTTTTGTTTTTGCTTTGTGACATTAAAAAAACCAGAACTTCAGAACACGACCAAAGAGCCCGAAAAACCCACAACAACTATTAGAATCCGGCTGTGAAAGACTTCGAGAATACAACTTCTAGTTTGTCATAGGATCATTATTCTTTTCCTTCCAGCGATTCCACACATTTCACTGTGTCTGTCCTGTGCACTGCAGTTTAGGAGGGAGGTCAGCAAGCTTCAGTGTTGTCCAGAAGAGGGCAATCAAGTTGGTAAAGAGTACAAGCTCTTATGGGAAGAACTGAGGATGTTGATTGTGCTTAGTCTGGAGAAAAGAAGATTGAGGAATTACGTGTGAGCCATCTTCAGATATTTGAAGAGCTACTACACAGAATATGGAGCAAGCCTGTTTCCTGCCACTCCAGAGGCAAAGCCTGAACCAGAGGATTCAGATTACAATTAAGAGTATTTTGATTAAACATTTGGAAGAGCTTCTTGAAAGAAAGACCTATTGAACAGTGGCAAACACTTTTTCACCAAGTGGAAAACTTTCCTTTACTGAAGACTTGCGAATAGAGGCTGAACAGCTATCTCTCAGGGATTCTTGCTTTTTTTGGATTTCTTGTTTGGCAGGTGTGCTGGACATTGAAGGTTCCTTCTTACTCTGTAATTCTCTGACAGGCAAGATAATGTGTTTGCATAAACACATCCCTTTGAAGGGAAAAATAACACACAAAAGGAACTGGAAACATCCAATAGATCCAATTAGGAAGGACAGGCGAAAATCTCAGGGTATTTTAAAAAAATTATTTCATTTCAAAACCTGCCTAATGCATTTTGCCCAAACAATTTGTGGCCTTCTTCAGAGGAAATGGAAAACAAAAAGGGACAATGCATTAAAGAGACATTATAGTAGGCACATTCAAATCCTCTTTATCAGTTTTACATTTTTAGATTGCATCACATTCAACCATCTAAAATTTTCATATACATTATTCACAGTGAGGGCATTCCTAGAGCATATTATTGATCACAGTTGACAAATATGGCCATCTTATTTGATTCATGCCAGTAATTCGTAATATGTAGTGAATTCCTCTTTTGGTCTGTTTCACAACTCCACTAAGCTACTGCTGACATAATGGAAGGAAGTTCCCATATTTATGGATATTATCTTGCGGCAGCTGTTGTTAAGGAATCATTCTGATTAATCCACAAGAGGGAGTGTATGCAAAAAGTAGGACTATTAAAGGAGGAGGACAAACTCTAGTTCTTCATTCAGACTTCTGGGAGCCCTTGTTTCCCGTCTTAATGTCCATTCAATTTTCCTGTTTAGTAGAGCCTTATTGTTTCAGTGGACAGCATCTAATTCCCAGAACTGTAAATCTTTCAAAGAATAGTTGTGTTCCAGGAAAAGACTGACCAAAGTGGTTCCTCATCTTTTACTCTAATATTGTCAAAATACTTCCTTATGTATGTGCTCAACAGCTCTGAATATTTTTCCTACATAGAGGTTATTGCATGGGTACAGTATTTGCTGGCATGTGTTATGCAAGTAGTGCTACAGGTGGTAATTTTTTTTCAAATTATAATTCTTATTGCTGTAGTAATCTCCAAGCTCAGTCATCGTGCATGTAAATGCAATGCTCATGAGGAAGGTGTACTGCGTGGGGGTGTTGCTCCTGCTGAGGTATTAAGAGATCTCTGTTCTTTGAACTTTGGCAGCAGTTTTCCAATGTTAAAAGCTCCCTCGCTATATCAAGGCCTCCCAGAGTTTCACAAAGGCAAAAGAAATCTCTAAGGAGCCTCAAAATCTGAAGTAGTGATAGTGGGAAATAGGACATTTTCTATTTAATTAAATTAATGATTTTGGTTTTACTCAATAATGACATGGGTGTAAAGTTATACATACAAGGTTTCAGTCAGTAAATTTAGCATTTTTATGTACTAGGAAAGTCATGGCTGTTGTGAGCTTCAATCTATATCTGTAATACCGTGTTTCCAGACAACTTTGATATTTAACAAATGTCCATCTGTCTCAAAACTGATAGTCTCTCATGAAGGAAAAGTGTAATAGAAAAAACGCCTCATCTTCAATAAATTATACATGTTGTATTTGGTAGGTCATCTTGTGAATACAGAGAAGATCAAGTTATGCAACTTTTCAGGGCTTTTTTCTTTCTTTTCTAAGATACACATGGGTCACTGGAAAAGAGCCACTTACGTACTATGACATGAACTTGTCTGCTCAAGATCATCAGACCTTTTTCACTTGTGAAACAGACTCCCTTCGGCCTTCAGATGCAGGTAATGCTAGTTTTTGCTGTGTGACTGAAAAGAGATAACATACTGTTAAAAGCATTTATTTTATCTTGGGTGTGGGGAACTTTATCCCATGGTTGAAACCTGTTAGAGTATGCATTCAAATAGTGGGTGTGACCTGAGCCGACAGTGGGTGTAGGTAAGATATGACTGTTACATTTGTTTGGTATGCGACAGGAGAGAAAAAATTGCTTCCGAACATTATTTTTTCCAAACATGTTCATGGCTCATGGAAGTAAGGTCCATAGTCTCAGAGCCATAGCTATGCAGGTCCTATCTAGTCCTCATACCGTACTGAGTTCAGATAAACTCCTGGACTTAATATCTGGTCCTTCAGAAGAACTGCAACCATGTCTAGGATTAATTCCAAAACTCCCTTCAGAGTAGCTAATCCTTCTACTTTCAGTTGTTTTTCCATCATAATCTAGGTTAAGATTCTTCTTCTTCATTGACAGCACATAATTGATACTCTTAGTCCACAGAAGCTTAGGCTATGATAATCTTGTAACAACTGAAAATATCCTTCTTGCTCTAATAAACAAATATAGTTCTTTTGAAATATTTTCTTTAGATATTCTAAAGAATATAATTGCTGAGTAATACTGAATCCTGAAATTAAATGCAGCGCTACTCCACCGTTAAGGGGTAGCATGCTAGGGAAGTTACTGTTGTATCGTTCAAACAATAATCCTTAAAAGTGTGTACATATTTTGGAATTTTTAAAAACCCTTTGAAAAAGATCTGTGGTTTAGATGTAACAGCTTCTGTTCTGATCATATCAAATCACCTTGGGGGTTTGTTATTGTTTACTCTTGTCTTTAAAACAATGTCCTAGTCCGTGTTATATACCAGTTTTTTTGTAAGATTATGTGTTAATGCTTACTGTTTCATCTAAATCACCAAGAACTTACTGTCTGCAAGTTGATCTGTTACATTATATGAAAACTATATTTATTGTATAAATGTAGTGTGTCATCACTTAAGCCAAAACTAACATAATCTTTCCAAAAAATGTTTCAACATTTTTCCACATTATTCTTGCTGGACAGTTGCAGTTTCAGTTCCAAAATAAACATAAATAGATTCTCTAGTTTTCATAAAGATGAGGAGGTTCAGATTCACGGTCAACTCACTGACCTGGAAAATCAATGTTTTTTTTCTGAGTAGGTAGCCCATAGCCTTTTCCACTATCACTTCATGAGTGTTTAGTTTGTTGCCTTTTTCAGAATTAAGATATGAAGGAAATTCCAAAAACTTGAATATATGGCAGAGATGTGAAGCTCCCTCCCACTCTGGGATGTGATTTAGGGCATTGTTTACACATGGCAGACCAGTTCCAATGCCCTCTGGACATCAGTTCCCATTTATCCATTTTCCAACCTAAAGTTGCTTGGTAGTCCAACTTACAATATTCCTGGGAGGAGAAAAAGTAAAACTTTGGGTCCTTGTTTAGAGCTTTGGGACTAGTTGCCACAATCTCTGTTCTTTCTGTTAGTCATCTGTTTTAAGTTTTTGCTTTAAAAAATAAACATGAACACTAAAATACATTAATATTATTGGTAATAACTTGATCAGAAGCAGGTTGTGGTGCTTTGTTCATTTTTTTAAAAAAAGTTAGGTGCTGTTGAATTGCTTCCAACTTATGGGAAGCCTAGTAGGATTTCTAGGTATATGAGATGTCCAAGTGTTTTTTCATTGCCGCATCCCAGTGAATTTCCATGTTTTAGCAGGAATTTGAATCTGAGTCTCCTGTTCTAGTCTGATACTCTATCTGTTACCCTACACTGACTCTCAAAACTGGCTCTTACTCGCATTTACTCTTCCTGAATTTGTAATTCTCGCAAGAATGTTTGTCCCCTGACTAATGGAATCCTTCTGTCCTTTCTAATAGTTATGCAGAAAGCATGGCGGGAGAGAAACCCTCAGGCCAGAATCAAAGCAGCATATCAAGCTTTGGAATTAAATAATGAGTAAGTCTGGACATAAATTTCAACATAATTTCTGAACTCAAATTAAAGCTGCACAATGCTGATAAACAATACCTTAGAGGTTTTCAGAGGATCAGGAAACTCAGGTGATACACCTTTTAGTGGGTTACAACAGTTTAAATGGGAGAGAGTGGGTTGAATGTCCTAATCGTACTTCCTTTAAAACCCTTTAATTCTCTTCAAGCATGAAAGTGTTTCACATACAGTGGTGCCTCGCTTTATGATTGCCCCGCATTACGACGAATCCGCTTTACAATGATCTTTTTTCAATTGCGATTGCAAAACAATGATTTTTCAACAGCTGATTGGCGGTTTCAAAATGTCCACTGGGTAACTAAAATGGCTCCCTGCTGTGTTTAGGGACGGATTCCTCGCTATACAGGCAGCGAATATGGCTGCCGTATGGAGGATTTTCGCTGGATGGTGAGTTTTAAGCCCATTGGAACGCATTGAAAGGTTTTCAATGCATTTCAATGGGCTTTTTATTTTCGCTTTACGATGTTTTCGCTTAACGGCGATTTTCCTGGAACGGATTATCGCCGTTAAGCGAGGCACCACTGTACCATATAAAAAGTTCTTAGATGTTGTGATTGGGTTCTTTTGTGAGAGTAGGCGGGCCAGGGGTTTCGGCGGGAAGAACGGATGGAGATGACGCAGAAGGTACAAACAACGGTTCTTTTTTCTTGTTAACATCAACTATCCCTAAACCAAAGGGATCTAACAGTTCAACATCTGTCAACACATGATAACGTTTCCCTCTAACATTCTGGTCTTCTTTTACATTCTTTAAACTTTCTTCACTCCAGGGGTAAAGCTGCCCACTGGGTTCAGTATGGGAGCGCTCAACACTGCGCAAGTTGTCCCGCAACATGGGTGTTTGACCAGTTGTCCCTCCAACCGCGGGAGATAGGGGTGGGAACCACATAGTGTCCCTTGCATCTCCATAACCGAGGAAGAGAGAATTGTCCCTGTACTCCATGACCCTCCTGTTCCACACTTAACTTTCTTAGGGACGTCCGGTAGATCTGGCAGCAATCCTCCTCCACTCATCAGGTTAGGGAAAGCTCTTACTAGTTTGGCTACTCGATCTCTCTCCACCCCTATTTCTCTTGTCTGCACCGCTTTGTCCTTCCACTCCAACTGCCCCCTTCTCCCTTCACTCCTCTTTTATATTGTCCCACCTCCATTCCTTTAGCTCCTCCTTCTCTCCCTCTTGTCGACCCTCAGCTAGAAACACTTCCACCGCTTTATTATTCCCTCCTCCTGTGTCATCTAAATTTATTAACTCTCCAACGACGCATCCCTCTGTTATTTCCACTTGTTCTTTCGGGGAGGACGGCACATTTTTGGCCTCTTGCTCACAGATGTGAACTAATACAGTGTCATCTGTTCAGCTACTAGGAAAAAAATCACTCTTTTCAGCAAGGAAAAATTAATCGTTGAACATTCTTCTACATTGAAATTAGGTTCCCGCTAAATTGGGCGTTTGTGCACAACTCAACTTCCCTCTGCACAGCTGTCTTCCTCCTTGCAGCAATAACATTAGGTTCTGGTTGTGAGAGAACCCAGCATGCGGGGGAGGAGGGGATGGAGTGAAAATTAGAGAGTACATTGGTGTCAAGTTATCTAAATTATCAATGCCAGGCTTGGATAGGAGTCAGTAGTCATATCCTGCTGCATAGCTTTGGCAGTATAGTGGGAAGATGTCACCAACACCAGCAGATTGCTGCTAATTAAGAGTTCCACCCTTGATTTAGGATTGCTCATGAATCATGTGCCATAACACAAGACAAAGACAACCTTGAAGGAGTAAGCCTTTAGTTAGCAGTCTACTGGTGCTGGTGCTGTCACTTGCTCTCCATCAGCAGAGCTATGAAACATGATTTTTCTCAGATTTTTTGTCTAGTGTATGTGTGGTCTGATTTCTTTGCTATAATTTTCAGTGCATGTTGAAGATAGGTGTATAGTTACTTTAAAAAGTAGAAAATATAAAATTTATGAAATCTGTCCATACATTCAGGGTCACATCCATTTGGATGTTATACAGTCATGTAAAAGATACAGATTCTAACAATGTTAAATGTTAGAAATGCTAAAGAGGCAAAAGGCAAGGAGAAAAAAATTGTTAGAATTACAACAAGCACAAAAAAGAAAGAATACATTAAAATAGATTGCCATGTCCCAAGACTTAAATACTTCAAACATAATGTGGTTGAAAAACCAATTATTAAATGAAACGTATTAGCTGCAATGAAACGTTGGGACCATTGGGACTGTTCTGATTTACTGAATCAGACAGTCAAGCCCTTTTGCAAGATATTGTGTATCATTTTATTTGCTTTTTAAATTTGTAGGCTGCTTTTCTCTTGGTGAGGAGACCCATGATATCATTAGTCCCATCTCTTCTTTGTCCATTCTGTTGTTATCAGATATTTCATGACTGCTGAATATTCTGAATCCTTGTTGGGTTGTTTTTAAGATGCATTTATCCAAGATTTTTTTACTGTTGTAAGCATCTTGAGATTCCTCAGAGCTTGCTTGCCGCTACTACCCTCTTAGGCATGATGCCATTTTGGCTCCCTATCCAAGATTTTTTTACTAAAGATTTTTACGTGCTGTTGTAAGCATCTTGAGATTGCTCAGAGCTTGCTTGCCGCTGCTGCCCTCTTAGGCATGATGCCATTTTGGCTCCAGAACTATCCGCTATCATCCCTGAACTTTTCAAATGACAGGATGATTTTGGGCAACAAAATTTTGTTTATTGAAGTATTTAATTTATATTCTGCCTTTCTACCAATGAAGGGACACAAGGCAGTGTAAAAAAAGAAGTATAATATCAGAATAAATTAAGATACCAATACTAAAATGCAGTTAAACCTAAACAATACCTGAACAGTGTTAAAAACATCACTAATTAAGCAAATTAAAACAAATATGAAACACATGACAAAATATGCTGTTTTTTGTTTGCTCAAAATATAAGGCTTCTGATTATTGCAAAATGGGACATCATAGCTGAGTTTTTAAAGTGATAAACATTTGTACACACTGATGTCAGCTTTAAGTCTGAACATCTGGGACCCTCACAAATTCAACACTTGCCTCAATGTAAAGGCAGTCAATTGATGCCAGTTATCTGGGCTAGACATTAGTATAAAAGTAGATATATACATGAATGCAATATATCTTTCATTCCCCCTTCCCTTTCAGCTGTGCCACAGCATATGTTCTGCTGGCAGAAGAAGAAGCAACAACCATTGTAGATGCCGAAAAATACTTCAAGCAGGCTTTGCGAGCAGGAGAAACAATTTATAGGAAGTCTCAACACTGCGGCTCCCAAAGTCCCCAGCATGAAGCACAGCTTAGTAAGCATCCTTTCTGAAATGGTTCCAGACAATAGATAAATTTGGATTCGTTCTCACTGAACACTTTAGGAGAAGCACTAGAAGCAGAAAATTAAAAATGTGTAGATTACAAGTAAAATCAATAGTAATATAAATTAGATTTTATTTGCTCCTGAACAGAGGGTACTGAATGTTTTACACTGCAATGCTAAGTGTGTCTGTTCAGGTTTAAGAGCAGTACAGCTCAATGGACATGTGCCCAAGTAAGTGTATATTGGTACTTCTCCGTGGCCTCTGTGAATCATGCCCTGGGTAATCTGCACCTGTGCGGAGCCTTATCAGAAAATTCTAGAGCTTCTGCAGTAGCAAAAAACCAATTAGAATAAGCCCCCTCCCCCTTGTATAAGTACATTGGCACCAAGGCTCCCCTTTCAGTTTCTTTCAACAGCCGCGTTGAGAGCCTCATAGTTTCTGCTTCTGTGAGTAAAAGAGAACTGCTTCTGTGAGTAAAAGAGGAAAAGAGCTTATTCTTGATTCCTTCCTGTTACTGATCTTTTTTCTTTTAAACTTTAGTTCAAATTCATTTTCATCAGAGATTTTTTCCTTTTAGCTTCACTCGGCCTCTTGCCGCAGTACCCCTCCATCATCGTTTTTCTCCTTGAATTAGGAGAAAAATAATTCAAGGAGAAAAACGATGATGGAGGGGTATTGCATGGTATGTGGTAACAAAATACCACTTTCCAATGGCCACGCCAAGTGCCTTTTTTGCTTGGGAGGGCACACCAGACGTCCTCCTGCCAGTGCTGCAAGAACTGCATGGAGTCCTCCGTTCTTGCTTATCCAGATTAAAACTCCATCTTTGGGAGCAATCCCTTCAACCAACCAAAATGACCCAACTTCCTTGTAAGGCCACCTCACAAACCAAAGCAATGGAGAAGGCTCTTTCTGAAGCCTCAAAACAACGTCCACCGACCACACCATCCCACTCTGACGCTCCATCCACTTCATCTTAAACTTCAAAAACCCATAAATTGAAGCCCTCAATACCAAAATCCTCAATATCGAAGCCCTCTGCTAAATGTCAAATGTCCACTGAAGCCTCTTTGGTCCCGGAACCTTCTCCATCTAAAAGACCTAAACAGCATAAATCTAAAGCTGCAGTAATCTCTCAGCAGCCTTGACAAACCGCCGAATCAATCTCCATTGGTTCGCCTTCTGACGATAATGGAACCCCCTGTCATCAGCCGGAATAGGATAACAGAATCCATCGATTAACATCTTCTTCTCCCTGTCCTCAACACTCTGTTCTTTCGAACAACCCTTCCGTAGTTGCTTCACCTGACAGGGGCGACTCCGAACAACAACTAGAGACCATACCTTATTAAGTAACATCTGATCGTCCACCACGACCGTCTCAGAGACATCGGCCCCAGCAGTCCCTGGAGCCATCTACAGTGGTGCCCCGCATAGCGAGGTTAATCCGTTTGGGATTAACCCTCGCTATGAGGAAACATCGCTAAACGGGACGCAAAATGCCATTGAAACGCATTAAACTTAGGGCAGAGGGGTTTCCATTCATTCTGTCAATGAAAACACTCATACAAACAACATAAAATCAGATTTGAACAGCAATTTCATAGAGTTGGGGATACCTTGAGAGTTTACCTCTCTGCCATAGTTTCTTATCAGCACTCTAACTCTCTGGCAGCTGATTTCTTCAAACATCCAATATTGAAATGTTTTCTTAAAGGTCTATCATATCTTCCTGGATACTTCCCCACCCTCCCTACAATGGTCACTAACATTAGTACTGCAGTAACTTACTAAAGCTCCTTTCAGACCTTTAGTTTCAACTGATTTACAGCTACTTACCTTTAAAACATTTTTCCTCGTCGCCATCATTTCAGCTCGATGAGCTAGTGAGTTAGCGGCCTTACATCATGACTATCCTTATTTACAGTTTTTTTCCCCGAACAAAATCAGATTGTCCATGGATATTTCTTTCCTCCCCAAAGTCGTATCTCAGTTCCATCTCTCTCAGCCATTTATCCTTCCTTCCTTCTTTCCATCACTGTCCACAATTCAAGAAAGAATCCTCCATACTTTAGATGTTAGGCGAGCCCATGGCTTTTATGTCCAACGCACCCAACCTTTCAGGCGTTCACTTTGACTTTTCATAAGTCACCAACCGCCTACTAAAGGTCGCCAGATAACGTCTCAAACCATATCTAGATGGGTTGCTTCAGTCATTCACCTCGTGTCTCAACTGGCACGCAAACCAGTCCCGAAGGTGATTTGTCCCCACTCCACCAGAGCAGTAGTAACCTCTATGGCATTGCTACGCGGCATACCTCTTCCGGACATCTGCACCTCTGCCACCTGGGCACAGCCATCCCCTTTCATCTGCCATTATAGACTTGATCTCCAGCAGAAGTCTGATACAGCCTTTGGACGTGCTGTTCTAGCCTCTACCTCGACATGACACCCTGCCTCTGGATAAGACAGCTTTTTAGTCACCCATGGTGTGATTCACAGAGGCCACAAAGAAGAATGACAGGTTACCCACCTGTAATTGTAGTTCTTCGAGTGGACCTCTGTGATTCACACATTCCGCCCATCCTCTCCACTGTCACACCATTCTGCTTAATGTAGCGGCAGTTGACACAACTGAAAGGGGAGCCTTGGTGCCAAGGTACTTATATGAGGGGGGAGGGGCCGTATTCTAATGTGTTTTTTGCTACCGCAGAAGCTCTAGAACTTTCCGATGAGGCTCTGCGCAGGTGTGGATCACCCAGGGTGTGAACTACATAGGTCTGCTTGAAGAACTATGATTACAGGTGGGTAACCTGTCGATAGCAGCAGCCTCTGTCCTGTTTTAAAATAATGTGAACTGCATCTTAACATCACTGCTTTTGTAGAAGAAAGGTTGTACTGGTGGAAGATATTCTTCCATTCACTGAGTGATAATACTGTTTGCTGACCTTTTAAAATACGACAATAATATTTTCTTTCTAAGGGTTTTCATCTGCCACGTGATAATAACAAAAAAAAAATTGCGAACACACAGCAGTAATATTGCAATATCATATGAAGCAGTTTTGTTATATATTAATATATTAAGATTCATGGTGGTAATTTCAAATGCCGTTAATTAACAACTCTGATAAATATTATTTTGCATTTCCCCTGCACAAAGTTTATTGACCTAAAAGTTTTGTTTCCCCATTTCTATTCAATTACTTTCCTTAGCCATTTTCCAGATTGTAATCAATAATACGACTTTAAAATATCCTTTCCCACTTCCGCCCTCTTTCTTTTCTTTGCCATGGAATGTGGTGCCTTAATTCTGAGGCCACAATCAAGTTCTCAACCTTCAGTTTATGATAATGATGGAGAACCAAATATGTGCTGAGACTGTGGATTTACTGTTTGAATGAGAGGGTGTTAGCGGGTTTGTTGTTTCATATCCTTCCAAAAGGAGTCCTAAGAAACCCTTAGATCTGCTGTGCTTCATATTAGATCAGTGTTATGACTTCCTGTGCCCTCCTTCTTTTCCACAGAATATGTTTCCTCTATTTTGTAGATGCAAATGGATGCATTTTTACTCACACAGGGGCTTATTTTCTTCTACAAAACCAGTATTGTGGTTTACTGAAGAATGATGTCAAAGGTGTTAGGCCAGAGGTATGGAGAATGTGTTGTTCGACGGCTGTTGAAGAACTACTGTTCCCATTAGTACATTAGTACCAAACTGGCTGAGCTACTTGGAGTTGGAGTCCAATGACAACTGGAGATGTCTGCTGGCTTGTTGATGCATCTTAAGATTGTTGAATTAGGCCCTGTTCCCTATACCATTTCCCCCACATAAATTCTGCATAGGCAGGAAGAAGGAATTTGCTCATTGCGCAGTGGTAGTCCCAGATCAGTCCTGTTGAGACTCACATTCTACACCTGTTCTAAAACAGCTGAGTCTTCTTTGAAAAAAAATTCAATCCTCTCCATTGTTTTCTACTACTTTAATGTAAGCATGTGGTTTTATAGTTTCATTGTGAAGCACTTCGATGTGTTTGTTGGACAGGAGGACAGAATATCTATACATAAGTAAATGCTTGAGGTAAATTGTGACATTTTAAACATGATATCCACTGATACGTATCATGTAATATTTTTTCCAGGAAGAGACACTAATGTACTGGTTTATGTGAAAAGAAGACTAGCTATGTGTGCAAGGAAACTTGGAAGAATTAAAGAAGCAGTAAAAATGATGAGAGATGTAAGTAATTTAGAAATAGTAATGCAGGTTATTTGGGCAATACAGTGGTGCCTTGCTTAACGACAATAATCCGTTCTAGGAAAATCGCCGTTAAGCGAAAACATCGTAAAGCGAAAATAAAAACCCCATTGAGACGCATTGAAACCTGTTCAGTGAGTTCCAATGGGGTAAAAACTCACTGTCCAGCGAAGATCCTCCATACAGCGGCCATTTTCGCTGCCTGTATAGCGAGGAAACTGTCCCTAAACATAGCGGGGAGCCATTTTAATTAGCCGGCGGCCATTTTGAAACCTCCAATCAGGTGTTCTAAAAACATCATTTTGCGAAGCATCAGTTCCCAAAGCAGGGAACCGATCATCGCAAAGCGAAATTCCCCCATTTAGACCATTGTTTTGTGATCGCAAAAAGATTGTCGTAAAGCGGATTCGTCGTAATGCAGGGCAATAGTTAAGTGAGGCCTCCAAAATAGAAACATGCATCTATCTGCCTCTAAGTAATACGTGAGCTTAAAGATAAACATCCTATTTATTCTTAGATAATCTATGTGTTAAAACGAATTCCACTTTAGAAGAAATACAAGGAAGAAGTATATGGCTGCTGTGCATATTTTCTGTAGTTTTGAAAACTTCTGGTGTTACTGAGATCACCTTTTTAACTTATCCCTATGCTGTTAATCAGTTAGTCTGACCAGCTTGCAGCTGTAGTGTTTTTGCATGTTGAGCCCAACAAGATCTATTTCTTTTCTCCTAAGAGAACTTCAGATATACTAATAAATCTGGGCTTCATTTTATTTGATCATCAGATACCGAATAGTGTTTGTTCTTCAAAAGTGTTTGTTGTCTATCTTGACCTTGATTAAACACACATTTGGAATTTGTAGCCTTCCAATATGTTGTCACTTGTTTTCAATGTAGAATTGCTGGGCTATCAGGCTTTCTGTATACTTTAACCCTGAATCATCTGACAGGCATGAAATGTATGGGATTTATTCTTCCTTCTCCACTAATATCACCCGGAACAGTGTGTAACTTAAGTGGTTACTTAGTTTGCTCAAAAGGTCTAGCATCAGCTTCTGGTATCCCCAACTCTATGAAATTGCTGTTCAAATCTGATTTTATGTTGTTTGTATGAGTGTTTTCAATGAATGAAAAAGTAGTCTACAAAAATATGAGTTTTAGTTTTCATCAAAATTAACTTATTGACAGTAGCAGTTTTTCATATAATGACAGAATGAATGAAAACCCCTCTGCCCTGACTCACTTATTGGTAGCTATGCTGAGTATTTCTAAAGCATCTATAAGTTTTAAGATGAGCCAGAAATATATGTCAGAAATACATATTCCTCCAAAATAGCCCTATGAAGTTGTGCAGACTCTGGAGGTGAAACATGCACACAGAAAGAGCACTTAGTTCTCATCTCCTCCTCATTCACTTCCATTGATGTCTGTGCGTGGAGGGCAGCAGTAAAGAGAGAGAGAGAGAGAGAGAGAGAGAGAGAGAAGGATTCTTCCTATTTAGAAACTCAGATTTCTAGTTCACATTCACACACACACATACATGTTATCCCTGAAGCTTATAAAGCAACAGAAAAAATAATTAAGGTGGGAGAATAGACGTCCTACTTGTGTATGAAGCTGCCATAAATTCTGTTCCATTGTGATATCCTGGGAGTGCTCTTCCTCTGCAATAGGGAGGACAACTTTGTAAATATGTGAGGCAGGTTGGAGTAAAATAACTCTGTCAATACTGCATCGTAGAGAAGGAGCACTACCTGGGTTTCAAGAAACAAGATGGAATGTATTCTACAAACAGAAACTTTAAATTCAACCTGTGAAGATTTTAGTATTGGCTTCTGCAAACCCTTAATTTTATTTTCAAGTGACAAAGCCTGCAACCGTAGGCACATTTAACTGGGAGTAAATTTCATTGAATTGTAAGGTTAGTGAGCATATTCCATGTAGTTATATTCCTTAAGTGAATTATAATACTGTACATTCGTACACGTAGTACACATGCATAACATCAGCTTACAGGGTGGTAGGTTTTATGGCCTTATTTATTCTTATTCTTCTTTCTATAGCTAATGAAAGAATTTCCTCTCCTAAGTGTGTTGAATATCCATGAAAACCTCCTAGAAGCACTTCTGGAACTGCAGGCCTATGCTGATGTTCAGGCTGTTCTAGCAAAGTATGATGGTAAGAATGCACAAATGTCATTGTTATGTGCCATTCCTTTGTTACATTTCCTGTGTTAAAGTATTTATCAATAAAAGTACCTTCTTGTAAATGCAGGATGCCCATAATGTTGGGCTTTTAATAGCAACTCCTAGTAACTGTTAGCACTGTTGGTAGCTGTTGGACTGAATAGCTTGCAAATCCACATTGGTAATTTTTTGCCCCCTCTGTATCTGTCCTTGGATTTTTCAAGAAAGGCTATCATGCCCCCTACTGCCAGCTGGTATAAATGAAATGAAATGACTTAATTCTATTGTGTAATTTCAATATATGGCCACAGATATTACCACCAATTATTTCTCCTAGTTACTGTTTAACTTAGAATAGGAATTTGATCAGTAATAAACAAATACTTTATCCTGTCAGTAATATATTACACTGATCTGCATCAGTGATTGATCAGGCAGATCAAGAGAGAATAATTTTTCTCTTTGCTAATCTTGATGCCCTCTACCATAATAAAACCTGCATCATTGGTTAAGTCCCAGGTCAGTTCCTGGTTTTTCTAACTGGATAATAACGAAGACCTGTGACCCAAAAAAGCTATTATGATTCAGATGGACAGCATTGGGACTGGACTAAATCGTGTCAAAGCTTTAACTCAGAGGCTATATCATGTTACTTGACTTACTAAGTCTCAACTAGAGTAGGCACATTGAACTAGTGGAATTTATGGAAGAGTTGACTTACTTAATTGCTGTTGATTCAGTGGGTCTACTCTAATTGTGACTTACTGTGCAAGGCAACAGGATTTCAGCTATGTTGTGGTTGTGCTCTGGCTATAAATAAGCAAAAACTTTTCAAAAGTAGCAAAGTGTTCCCATTTAGAGCTTTAATATATTTTAATATACTCAGAAACATGGTAATTTGTTTTAGTGTTACTATTCAGAAACAGTGCAGTCATCAAGGAAGAGAGAGGGAAACTTGCTAAAACTGAAGCAGTCAGCATTGTATTTTTTAAAATATAATATAAAAGCAAGTCCTACTCTTTGCAGGAGGAGCTAGGTTCTTTTGTGACCACAAGTGTTGGGTTGGCCACTAATGCCAGCCAGAAGCTGTGGACTTGGCAATCAGAGAAAAAGATGGTCACAGGGAGCAAAGTATTGACCAGTATAACAACTTTGAAGGAAATTGTGGAAATTGTGGTAAGGAAGGAGGAGATTAGATTTGTAGAATGAGCAGTTAAGGGAAAGGAGGAAAGAAAGGAAGTGGGGGGGATTATACAGAACAGAAAGA